GGGTACGCCCGGGGCCGGCCTCTCACCCTCTCGCCCGCCCGGGGCCGCGCAGGCCGGCGGAAACGCTGCTCCTGCGGCCGCCACAGGTGCCCCGCGCCGCGGCCCAAGATGGAGCCCGGGCCGGACCCGGCCTGGGCCCGAGACGCCCGTGGAGCCCGCGCCGGGGAGGGGCGGCAGGGGGCGGCAGGCGCGGGCCCTAGGAGGCAGCAGGGGGCGGTGGCCCCGCTCACCTGGACCCGCCCCAGGCTCCGCCGCCCGCTCCGCGGCCCCGCCCCCGCCCCGCCCCCACCTCGCGTGCCCCGCCCCCAGACGCCCACCTGCCCGACCCGACCCCTCGGTCTGGATCTTACAGGCCAGGCTCCCCGCTATCCTAATAGCCCCGCCCCGAGGGCTGCAGCCCAGACGGGGACCCCATCCTCCCGGCCCGGCCCCCGTCTTCCAGACCCCTTCTTCTAGGTCAGGGTCCCCTCCTGCTGTCCGCCCCTGGCTATGCCCGTAAAAGGGGTCTGCCCTATGTTTGCACACCAGTTTCAGGAGATGAGGGACTGGTGTCAGCTCCCCCACCCCGGGGGACCCCCCCCCCTTGCATGCCTGCAGGGAAAGATCTGCACTCCTGGGGTCCAGCCCAGCCCCTGACCAATGCCATCTCTGTCCCTTCCCCGGTTTGGGGCGTCCTGTCTCCGTTTGCAGAGAGACTCAGACTGCCCTTTGGTGTCCCTTCTGGGAGGACACAGGGCACTGTCAGACTCTGGCATGTGGTTGCCCCAGCTGGGCTGAGCTCCCTGGGCAACAGTGTCCAGGTGGAGCCCCGGGGGCTTTGGCCTCCCCAGCGCCCACAGGCCAGCTGGGGATCAGACCCAACCAGGCCAGTGGGGTGTTTGCTTGTGCAGACCACTGCCCCTTCTTCCACATCTTGGGGTATTCCCCTTTTAGCAAAGTCAGCTGAGCACCAAGAGAGGATGAGCCACGTGTGGCTACACAGAGCGTTAGGGGCAGCCCCGCACCCACCTAGGTACCCTGAGTGCCCTCCTGGGAGCTCACTGCCTGTGAGCAAGAAGTGTGCCCTGGCTGGGCCGCACCACCAGGACCCCTGGTCCGACTGATGCCCTTTGCCCCGACAAAAAGACTCCCCTGGCTATGGCGGCTACCCGGGGAAAGCCCAGGCTGGGGAGTCAGACCTGAGCCCCAGTTCCAGCTCCTGCACATACTCGCCTGCCCTGTGATCTCACACCCGAGCAAAACCGCTCAGCTGCCGGCTCTCGGTTTCCTCATCGGTGGAGTACAGGTGAGGACAGCGGCGGCAGGGCTGCGGGCAGATGGCGGTTGTGCGAGTGCTCTGCCCATTTGATCAAATACTTATGGAGCATCTCCTGTGTCTGGTTCTGGAGGTACAAGCTCGCACTGGGGTGGGGATTCGGAGGCAGTTCTGGGTTGAGGAGCACCAGGCCAAGTGCCCTGGCCGAGACCCTGCAGTCCGAGAAAAGAGGAATACCCGGGAGCTCAGGGACGAGGGCCCACTGGGGCGACTGGGACACAGCACGGAGAGGCCTGGAGCTTCCAGGGACACCTGTGTGTCATGGGTAAAAGGATGATCCCTGGGGCTGGTGCTGTGGCATAGCTGGTAAAGTTGCCACCTGTGACACCAGCATCCCATATGGGCACTGGTTTGAGTCCTAGATGCTCCACTTCCAATCCAGCTCCCTGCTAATGTGCCTGGGAAGGCAGCAGAAGATGGCCCAAGTGCTTGGGCTCCTACAACCACGTGGGAGACCCAGATGGAGCTGCTGGCTCCTGGCTTCAGCCTGGTCCAGCCTAGCCATTGAGGCCATTTGGGAAGTGAACCAGTGAATGGAAGGTTCTCTCTCTCTCTCTCTCTCCTCTCTCTGTAAATCTGACTTTCAAATAAATAAATAAAATGATCCCTGAGTCATGGGGTGTGTGAGACTTCAGGGAAAGAGGGGAGTGAGAAGAAGCCCTGGGGGCTGTGAGTAAGCAGGTGACAGGGCCTGAGGAGGAGCAGCCAGAAAGGAGAGAGGGAAACTGGGGCACCGTGGTGATGTGGGGTGCAGAGAGCTGGCAACCCAGGGCGGTGACAGAGGCAGAAGCCATCGGCTGGGGTTGCGCTAGATGAGTTATCTGGAGACAGCACGTGGCCATTGGAGGGGAGAAGTGATAAATGTGTCACTTGGAAAGCAGTGTGGGGTGGAGAGTGGTGTTTTGGGTGGACGGTTGTGTTTGTTGTTGCTCATCTGTCTGTGTTTGAATGGGTCATATTCCCTTGATTTCAGCCAACAATCAATGTGGCTCCCCAAGCCAGGGTAGGGGTGGGGGCCATGGGGGAAGCCTGCAGGGAGCTCAGAGCGGAAGCCCAGGCTCCAGAGCCCACCTGGGGTCTCAGCCTGTCACCACCTTGGAAGGAAGCCTTCCAGTCCTTTGTCCACATGTCTCCCCTGGAGCGTCTCCTGCCCCTCTGAGATTGCACATGTTAGGGTGTCACGGCTGAGGTGGGGGTTTTAGAAGACACGCCGAGAGCTGGCACGTGCCAGGGTGTTGGCAGTGCCTGGGGGAGAGAGAGCTTTTACTGGGTTGAGCAGGGCCTATTTTTCTGACAAATTTTCCTGCAGAGCAAGAGGCCCTTGTAGCCGTAAGATCTGTGAGTGAAGAAGACGCTGACTCCCCAAGATCTGACATACAGAAGATGCTGGGTGGATGGATGGGAGAGAGAGGGAGAGGGAGAGAGAGAGAGGAAGGGAGGGGCGGAGGGAGGAAGGGAGAAAACCTGGATGGACGGATGGATGGATGTGTGGGTAAGCAAACTGATGGATGGAAGGATGGAGGGATGGGTGGGTGGGTGGATGAATGGGTGGATGGATGGATGGATGGTGGGATGGGTGGATAAGCAAACTGATGGATGGAAGGATGGGTGGATGGGTGGGTGGGTAGGTGGGTGGATGGGTGGGTGGAGGGATGGATGGACAGATGGAAGGATGGATGATGGTCTGATGAAAGGTGGTTTATCTGGGAATACCATTACCATCTCAGTTCAGTTCCACAAACCTTTTCCTGAGCCCCTAATCAATGCTGTCCCACAGTGAGAGTTGGGAGCACAGGCTGAATCAGAGGCGCCTTGGCCCCAAGTCCTGTGTAATGGGGGATTCAGGACGGATGGTGACAGACACAGACAAGTTGCAGTGATGGAAGGGAACAGAAGAGGCTAGCACATACAGAAGAGAGGCCCTATAGTAGACATGTGTTGCTTTTAAGCTCCCCACAATCCATCCCCCCTTTCATTCAGGGTCACCCCAAGAAAGAGTCTGCTAATCGCCACCCGATACTTCCTCCCTTCCTCTGGAGTGATCCAAGTCCTCTAGCCAGGAACACAAGTGCCCAGGCTGTCAGTCCCTCTTCCCAGGCATCATGCAGCAAGTGCACTGCTGGGCTCGGCTCTGGCCAGTGAGAGGCCAGCAGAAGTGACACGTTGTTCACAGTGCTTAGCAAGCCAGGTCCATTTGTGCTGAGGACAATGGTTGAAAATTTCAGAATCTTGGTGTATGCTGGACACCTGCTGCCTCTCTCTACAAAGGAAGTCCCGCACCAGTCAGAAGAATTCGGAGCAAGGGAGCCGACGAGCAGGCAGAGAAGGAAGGAAATACGGTGGTGCTAAGAGAAGCTTTTTCTCTCTGGGCTGAACCTAAGCTCGGAAGTTTTCAAGGTTGAAACTTCTATTGTGGGAAGCAACTCGGACTAGACTAAGTTACTGGAATTAAGACTTATTCTATGCATCTGCTCTCCCACAATATGGCGCTGGGAGTAAACAACTTTTACACAGCTGCCTCCAGTTCAACCAACAACCTGCAGGAGCTGATCCTGCTCCTGATTGGAGGAGAGCAGCGTACTCGGAGTGTGGGTAGCAGAGTTGGGATTGGTGGAAGAGGACTATAAAGGAGGAGAGAGACAACATGCACCGGGAACATCTAAGGGGAACATCCGAATAACATCTGAGCAGCCCCCGAGAGAGCCGGCCAGCGGTGTGCCGCTCCCCGGCGGAAGTGGGGAAAGTGGCAGGGGGAGCCACCCTTCCACGGAGGTGGAGGGACGGCAGCCAACCCGGGAAGAACCAGCAGCAAATCCGGGAAGGGCCGAGCAGACAAAAGAACAGTGCAGAGTCCTGTGTCGTTCCTCCACGAAGAGGGGGAGCAACAGTCTATGACGTAAACCAAGGCAGAGAGAGAAGAGTCTGAAGCCCTTGTATTAGCAATGTGGGCCTAACCTTTCTCAGGCACTTTTTAAATATTTTTATTTACTTATTTTATTTGAAAGAGAGAGAGCACTTCCATCCTTTGGTTCACTTCTCAAATGCCCTCATCAACACAGGTGGCTGGGCCAGGCAGAGGCCAGGACCCAGAAACTCAATGAGGACACCCACTGCTCACCAACTAGTCTCACCAACTCCTGGACAGTGGGTGGGATGCATAGAGTTTGAGGGCATTGCACCATGAAAAACCACTCCCAGACCTGATGGTGCAGACCATCCCCTGCCCCCGCCCCTCGCCCCAGGGTGAGGTGTGGTGCTGGATGCAGGCACCTGGTGGAATTTGGGGGCTGTCTTCCTTCCCCTCGCCACAGGCAGACATTGGAAGGACATACAGGACACACAGACAAACAGACACCCAGGAGCTTAGACCACTCATTGCCCCCAAACCACCTTCATCTCCTTCCTCGTCTAAAGAATCCCTGTTTTAGCTAGAAGGCATGAAAATCTAGAAGAAAAAGGATTGTATTTCCTCATTTCCCAGAGCTGCACTGAGTCACGTGGCACAGGACTGCCGTGAGGACGGGAAATGCCTTTGGGGGGAGGGGGGAGGCGGGAGGCGGGGACTCTCCCTGTTGCCCTCATCTGTTCCCACTGGCTGAGTGTGGAAGTGGAGGTGCAGCATCGCACTCCACACTGGGGATAGTGAAGCATCAGACAGAAGACTTGGGCGCCCCGGGCCACTTACCTGCACACAGCAGAGCGAGCAAAGAAGCTGCTGTCTTGCTTCGGCCAGTCTTCCCTGAGCGTCTTCCAGCAGTTCGACCTTATTCTAAAAATTACTCAGCCTGTCCCCTCCCCTCCACCCAGGTGCTGTGGGTGGGTCTCTGAGGAGGGGCGGGTGACCAGGCCTGAGCCAAATGCTGTGTCACCTTGCCCTGGCCATGGAGATCATTCGCGATAAGCTTGCGTTCCTCTTAGAGCCGACGACAAGCACAAAAGGATTTCCCTGGGAGTCCTGAGAAAGATCTCTTTTCCCCCACGAGGATGTGCAGCCGGAAGCTGCTGCTGCCATCTTTTTAAAGTTATATTTATTTGTTTGAAAGGCAGAGTTACAGAGAGGCAGAGGCAGAGAGAGGGAGAGGTCTTCCTTCCACTGGTTCATTCTCCAAATGGCTACAATGGCCAGAGCTGGGCAGATGCAAAGCCAGGAGCCAGGAGCTTCTTCCAGTTCTCCCTCAAAGGTACAGGGCCCCAAGCACTTGGGGCATCTTCTACTGCTCTTCCAGGCCACAGCAGAGAGCTGGATCAGAAGTGTAGCAGCTGGATCCTGAACCGGTGCCCATATGGGATGCTGGCACTGCAGGCAGCGGCTTTACCTGCTACGCCACAGCGCTGGTTCCCTGCTGCTGCCATCTTACCAAAGCCTGTGATACCAGAGGCAGTCCCAAGGGTACCAGAGCGAGGATGTTCAGAGAAGCCAGGGCCTGAGCCCATCCTGGGAGCCTTGAATCCAGGGAAGAGGAAACCTGGGCTCATCCCTTGATGCCTCAGATAAGGAAGACAAGAAATTTCCTGTTGGTGACGCTCACTTGCGTTAAATTTTCTTCCCTTGCTACTAACAGTGTGCTCGGTGACACAGGTGCCGGCCAACCCTGGGAGTGTCTGTGCAGGGCTTCATGGAAGGAAGGAGGCTCAAGTTCAGCCTTGGTTGGTAAGTTAGAAAGCACCTGAAGCTTGTTCGGGGAGAAAAATGGGTTTGCAAGCAGATTGGAACAAGAACTGGCACTGTCCTTGGGATCCGGCAAGACAGCTCCAGAAATGGCCGCTGCCCTTCACTTCCGCCCTGAAGCCTTGCAGACCAGCTCCCTCCAGTGGCTCTGCCAGGCTTTCCAGCAGCTCCTGCCCTCTGCTGATGTTGAATTCCTGCTGCTGCGACACCTGGAACTGCCACCACCCCAGCTCCTCCTGGTGGCTTCTTTTGAAGCATCCTTTACACGCCTTCCCGGCTGGCTCACTCCTGCCGTGTCTCTCAACTCTCCATTCATAAAAGGGAGGTCATCTGTAACGCTGGAAGAAAACACACAAGTCCTGGCCAGCAGACGGGTTCGATGCTAGGGTCAGGGGCCCTCTCCCACCCGCATGGTCGAAAGGAAGACGGCCTCGTGGCTAGTCCCTCTGCTGGGCTATCCTGCTCTGCTTAATCGTTAGCTAGCGCTCTCCCGATTTCAAGAAGCAGAAACCCAACCCAAATTGGCTTAAGCACCAACAGGGCTTTTATTTGGCCCTTGTAAGTTTGGAGTCCAGAGTAGCTGGTCTTGACCGGAGCCATCAGTCTAAGCAATGACATCAAACTCTAGCGCTTTGCCATCTCTTCTCACCGGGATCTCCCTACATCTGCAGCTCTTCCTCTTAGATGATACCCTTATGGCTCTAAGTGCATGGCAAAGAATCTAAGGAGAACAATGCCAAGTGATTACATCAACTGTCACTGTATCGCCCCCAACAGTGGCCTGCAAACCCTATGTCTGAATCTGAGCCACTGCCCGGTTCTTTTTTTTTTTTTTTTTAAGATTTATTTTATTTATTTGAAAGGCAGAGTTACAGAGAGAGGTAGACACAGAGAGAGAGGTCCTCCATCCGCTGGTTCACTCTCCAGATGGCCACAACATCTGGAGCTGCTCCGATCTGAAGCCAGGAGCCAGGAGCTTTTTCCAGGGTCTCCCACGCGGGTGCAGGGGCCCAAGCACTTGGACCATTCCTTCCACTGCCACAGCAGAGAGCTGGATCGGAAGAGGAACAGCCAGGACTAGAACTGGCGCCCATATGGGATGCCGGCGCTCCAGGCCAGGGCTTTAGCCCGAGGCACCACAGCGCTGGCCCCACACAGTTCTTAACTAACAACGGACGCCTAAGGGATATGATATGTGACTGACCATGTCTGGATCAAGCCTAGCTTTGGAGTTAAGCGGAAGTGGGATGCCCTCCCGCAATGGCACGACGAGACAATTGGGGAGCACCCATGGATTTTGTCACCAAAGAAGGTAGATGGGCAAGAACAACAAATGCCCCCTGCAATCTTAACCTTTGGCTGCTCACTATCTGCACGTCCCCTTCCTGCCACAGACACAGCTGTTAAAAGCTTCTTGCTCACAATAACACAGGTACAGCACAAGGTGTCCAACCCTACTCATGTCCACTGCAATGCAGAAGACAGCACAGGACTTAGGAGCTCACCAGCAGCTGCACCCAGCACCAGACCCAGAGCTCTTGGTTGAAGGGTGGTCCTTTCAGTCAGCCTGGAAAGAATTGCAGTGAAGCAAGGCTCTGAGCCCCACCCCCACCCCCAGCTGTGCCAGGACCTAAAGAGCATGCCTCTCCAGAGTGCCGTCACTGGGGGTAAACTCCCAAGTAGTCTTCGCCTGGTCCGGATTCCTCCACTCCTAAGTCAGGTTGCAGAGTGAGAGCATCTGGTTGGTCTAACTCGCATCCTGCACCTACCCCCTGATGTGGGAATAGCAGACTGCATCTTTTTTTTCTTTTTTCTTTTTTTTTTTTTTTTTTTTTTTTGACAGGCAGAGTAGACAGTGGACAGTGAGAGAGACAGAGAGAAAGGTCTTCCTTTGCTGTTGGTTCACCCTCCAATGGCCGCCGCAGCTGGTGCACCACACTGATCCAAAGGCAGGAGCCAGGTGCTTCTCCTGGTCTCCCATGGGGTGCAGGGCCCAAGCACTTGGGCCATCCTCCACTGCACTCCTGGGCCACAGCAGAGAGCTGGACTGGAAGAGGGGCAACCAGGACAGAATCCGGCGCCCCGACCGGGACTAGAACCCGGTGTGCCGGCGCTGCAGGCGGAGGATTAGCCTAGTGAGCCACGGCGCCGGCCTTGTAGACTGCATCTAATAGAAGACAGAGCAGGGGTCTGTGACTGCGAAAGGGAAGCCAGGAAGCTAGGCTACAGTGGGAAATCCCCCCACTGCATGTTTTCAGAGACGCTGCTGCTGAGCCAGCCCGGGTGTGAGTGGCCGCCTCACCAGGCTGATACGCAGGAGCAGGGAAGCGACAGAGAGGAAGGCCTCCCCTGTGCCTGGGGACTTGTGGACTCCCATTTCTCATGCCAGGGGCCACTCAGACAGCCCTCACTCTGGACCCTCTTGGTGTCCATGCAGGCATAGCTCCTCACCAGCCTGAGGACCGTGTACAGGCGCTGCTGGCTGCCTACCTGTGTCAGGAGGGGCTGCACGATAGCAAACTGTGCAAAAGTCCCAGTGGAGCAGGGGCAGTGTTGTGGTGCAGCAGGTTAAGCTGCGCCTTGCAATGCCAGCATCCTATATGAGTGCTAGTTCAAGTCCCAGCTACTCCACTTCTGATCCAGCTCTGCCCACTCAGCCTGCACGTGTACACCCTCACATGGGAGCTCCCGACAGCCTCAGACTGAGCTCCTGCAGCTCAACAACTCCTGCTCAGAACAGGAGTTGAGACACTCAGGAGATGGTACAAGACTATCGGGGTTGGGGCCGGCACTGTGGCGTAGCAGGTAAAGCCCCTGCCTGCAATGCTGGCATCCCATATGGGCGCCGGTTCGAGGCCTGGCTGCTCCACTTCCAATCCAGCTCTCGGCTATGGCCTGGGAAAGCAGTAGAAGATGGCTCAAGTCCTTGGGCCCCTGCGCCCATGTGGGAGACCTAGAAGAAGCTCCTGGCTCCTGGCTTCAGATTGGCACAGCTCTGGCTGTTGCGTCCAGTTGGGAAGTGAACCAGAAGATGGAAGACCTCTTCTCTTCTTTCCTCTTTCTGTGTAACTCTGACTTTCAAATAAATAAATAAATCTTAAAAAAAAAAAAAAAAAAAGGACTGTCAGGGTTGCTCTTGGTTAGCCTGTCTGGGATCCCACGCCCACTCCTGGACTGACTGCTGTAGCCAGAGAATGAAATACACTGAGTGGGTGGGCAGGCCTGGGTCAAGTGCAAAGCCCCCAAACAGGGGTGAGGCTGAGACCAGCTTCACAGGGACGCTGTGCACAAGGAATGGAGGGAGACTGGGGGGGCAGTATAGGGGGAAAGGCTGTCAGACAGGGCCCAGGAGGAGGGGGCAATGGAGCAGGAGGGCAGAGTACGCTCTGCGAGGCAAGAGTGAGCCACAGGCCTCGGGCTCCATCCTGGCGCCCTGGGCGTGTGTGCACAGCATGGGAGCATCTGGGACCAGCAGGTGGCATGGGGGACAAGGAGAGCTTCCGGCCCAACAAGGAAAGGTATCCTCTCCCAGAGCCTCAAAGTCAGGGCCCTGCCAGCAGAACCAGGGCGACGTGAGGATTCGCCCCTGAGAGGGGGAACTAGGGTGACCTGGGGTATTCACATAATCGCGAGACACACAGTCTTGAGCGTATTTCTCAGCATGGCCTTTATCCTGCTCCGGCCTCTCTGTCCCCATGTGATGAGAGGCGACACTTCCTTAGACAGGGACTGATTCTTAAGGTTAATTGAAAGTGGCCTTTCTCATGAATCATCTGCACTGAATTATTCATCACCTGCCAGCATTTGCAGGCTTTAAGCTCCTGGGCTTCCCGCACCCCTCCTTGGAAATGTTCTCGCCGGTGGAAATATGACTTCCTTCTGGCCAGGGAAGAAAGGAGCCGTGTCTGCCGCCCTTCCCGGGTTGTTCCAGCTCCAGTGATCCAGTAAGGAGCAAGGCCTGAAAACAGGAAGCAGAGTCGGGGCTGCAGCCAGACCTGGGTGGCCTTTCCGTTAAGTGGAATGGGGCAGTAGACAGACAGGAGACTGACCACAGGCCCGGGGCTCTCAGCCTGGCTCCTGGGCATCTCCACAGGAAATGGGTTTCTGAGCCCCTTGCACGGGCCCCTCAGTGGGGAAGATAGAGTGGGGGGAGCAGGTGCAGGGTCTAATGCCACCATGCATTGGGTGGGCATCCCTTTTGATTAGGTTTGCTCCCGACCTGCAGGGCTGACATGACATCCAGCCTGCACCACGACACCCAGGAATCAGGAGCAGCAAGAAAGGGGAGCTTCCTCTGCCACCTGCACAAAATGACTCAAGGCTCAGGGGGCTGGCTGGGTGGGGAAGGGGCTTACGAACAGCACAGGCAAGCACCAGCCACTGGTCTCCAGGGCGAGGAGCTGGGGTCTGGCCTGGACGTGTGGCCCAGGCTGTGTGAGACGCATGGACTATGCTGGCAGGAGCCTAGGGCAGCCCATCCAAGGACACCTCTCCTTCTCCAGTCACTCACGGGAGATGCCAAGCTGACTAGGATGTGGCCCTGTCTTCATGGAGGTTAGCTGGGGAGACAATCACAGGCAGGGTAGCTGCCGGGCCAGAGAGGACACTTAGGGTGGCGGAGGGCTTCGTGGAGGAGGAGCTGCTGGAGGAAGAAGAGCTGGCGGGACTTGGCAACTGCTTAGCAAGGGAAGGGCACAGAGAGGGTACTGGGGAGGCACAGCACGGGGCCAGGTACCTCCCACAGAGCACAAGGCAAGGAGCACACACCTGCCCACCCCTGGGGAGAACAGCTCAGGTCCAGCTACAGGGCAGCCGGTGTGGACAGGGCCGTACCCATCGGGGACAGTCAGGCCACAGTCACGGTGCAGGGCAGCTGAGGCAGAGGAGGGTCCGAGCAGACGAGGGGTCAGTCACAAAGGGTTCACGGGGGTCTTGCTAGCTGCCTGAGCCCAGCCTTGTGGTCAGCACAAGGTTTCTCCCAGAAGCGGGAGAGGCAAGGAATTGGAGTCTCCTGGGAGCAGCCTTGTAGCCCCATTGGGACTTCAAACCCCAGAACACAAAGATGGTGAAGTTGGGTTTTGCAACACTGAATCTCTAGTGATTTGTACCCTCCTCCCCCTGACCCCAGCACCCAGTCACTCCACTGGGTCCCAGGAGGGCAGCTTTGTGGGCAGATGAAAAGGTGGGGTGGGGGCAGCTGCTGCCCTGCCTTGCCTGAGCAAGTTGCCAGGGGAGCCACAAAGCGACCCTTACCTCTCTCCTGGGTACAGGTGTGGGGGTCCTGCCTTCTCACCGCCCCTCCTCCGCACCGCCCAGGCCCCAGCAGAGGCCACTGCTCCAGCAAAGGGGCAACAAAGGCCCCCAGACCCCGTGTCAACGTGATGACAGGGACCCCAGCTCATCCCCAGCACGCGTGATCCAAAGCGCAGGCAGGATCCGAAGCTCCGCCTGCCCCGCCACCCAGAGGCGCAGGTGCCACAGGGGAGGTGGGATGGGGGGAAGGGCTTGGTCGTTGGACACAACCCTCAAGACTGTAAGACAAGCGCCCCCCCCCCCCCATCACCACCGCCCTGTTCCTTTCCGTTCCCTCTTGCAGGGGCTATGTTGGAGCGCCCTCCACCACTGGGGACCTGTGCCCGCGCTGCGAGGGTGTGCAGGACCCCACCCCGACCCCTCATCAGGGAGGGCGGTTTCCACCAACCTTGAGGGACGCGGGCCCCCCATGGTAACCCCCAATGGACACCCCAATGTGAGTGCGCAAGGAACGCAAGAGACGCTGCCCTCTGTCAGGGACTCCTTATTAGCGGCCGGTACGCGCCACTCCCCCACCTTACGTGCCCCCCACACGCAAGGTCGCCGTCCTAAGATCCCTTCGCTACATCGACCCTAGCCCGAGAGAGAAGAATCCACAGGACGGAGAACCCAGAACTCCGGCGGCGGCTCAAGCAGGCAGCGGGGCACTCGGGCCTGGGATGCCGGGCCCTGCCCTCGAACCCAGGTCGAAGCCGGGTCCTGAAAGACAGAGCATGTCTCAGCCAAAGGTGCTTGGCAGCCACTGGGTAGCACCTGCCAAGGCCACCAGGTACCAGCGGCCGGGAGTGGAGCACCGTCGGACCCGGCGCCGGGACAGCTTCTGCTGCTGCCCTCGCGGGTGAGGGATCCTCGCCCCACCTGCAGCGCTGGGAGCCCCTGCGTCCCTGGAACACGCGCCCTGCGGTTTTCGTGAGAGCAAGGTTGGCTCCGCGCCCCTCCTGGACCTCGGCCAGGGCGGGGCGGGGGCGGATCTGTGGCCTCCGGGCGCTGGGTCCCTGCCCTCGCAGTCGACCGCGCAGGGCAGCAGCGCCCCCGCGGAGCGCCGGGCGCGGCGCTCAGAGACGCGGCCCCGGGGCGGCGACCTGCGAGACAGAGCTCCGGCCGCAGCGCCCCGATGGCGGGTAGGTGCCCTTGCCTCTCCAGCCGGGCCGCAGCGCAGCGCCCCTCTCCTCCCCGCGACCCCATCCAGCCCATCTGGGCAGGACGCAGGGGAGGGACTGCAGGGCAGTCCAGCCGCTCGCTGGCAGCTGCAGGCTGGGGGGGGGGCAGTCTGGGGTTTTTTTGGGGGGTCTCCCCTTGCCACCCTGGAGTCCTGGGGAAACCCGAAGGAGCACAAACTGTCCAGGCTCCCAGCAAACGTGGAGTGCGGGTGCCAGCAGCCTAGGATCCCTGAGCCTCCTCATTCATCCCCGCCATCCGCTCCCACCGGCTCCCACCAGCTCCCCTAAATGTGGCCTCCCCTGATACAGGCTTGGGGCATGGTGGGTGAGGCTTAGAGACGGCTACAGAGCCCAGGCAGGCAGGAGCCAGGCTCACAACAGGTTCCTGGACTGTGCTTGAGAGAGCTCTGAGTGCAACTCAGGGTTCGGTTCCCTCCTGGGCTTTCCTGAGTGCATAGTGCCCAATCCCAAGCCCACCCTCACATTTCCCGGGAGCCCCTGGGGTGGGGGGACGGGAGGAGGAGGGAAGGCTTGATTTCCACCTAGAGGTGCAAGGAAGTGGTGTCAAATGCAGGACCAGCTGTTTGAGCCAGGGCACGGGGACCCCATGGGAAGTGGCTCTCCGCTAGGTGGCAGGCCCCTGAGGCAGCCAGCAGCTGCATCTGTGTCACTCCCCGTGTCCATCCCAGGGGCTGGGGTGGCTGTGCGGGGCCTGTCCCAGGACCTGGGGTGTAAACGGAAGTGGCTTCCCAGTAGCTGACCCTAGTCCTGGTGGTTTCTGCCCTCAGAGCTGCTGACCCTGCTGATTGGGGGCCTTGTTGGGGGGCTGCTGCTGCTGCTGCTGCTGATCTGGGCCAGCTGCCGTCTGTGGAAGCGGCTCTGCGCCACCCTCTCCTACGAGGAGCTGCTGGAGACATCTGCCCAGGCCACCCCCGCGGCCGCCGCCAGCCAACAGGGGGACAGGCTCCGCCAGCCCCATGCCAGGACCCACGCGAGCAGGTGAGGCTGGGAGTGGGGCCAGCAGGGCTTCTAGCCCAGCTCCAGTGCCCTCCGTGTGGTTTTCCTTGGGAGGAGTGGGAAGGAAAGATCTGTTTAGGGAGTGCCTGCTCGCCCTGCCTTCCCTGTGCTGGGAGCTGTCACAAAGGAACTCCAGAAGGCAGGAGGCAGGCATTGTGAAACCCATTCTCCAGCTGAGGGAGCTGAGGCTCAGTGGGCATAAGGAACAGGTGCAGAAGCACAGCGGGGAAGGAATTAGGACAGGCATTAGAATGCACAGTCTGACGTCACAGGCTGGGTCTGTTCTGCGACATCCCTTGTTGCAGACAGATGTGTGTATGTGTGTGTGTCTGTGCGTGGGTGAGTGTGTGTGTGTCTGTGTCTGGGTGTGCGTGTCTGTGTCTGGGTGTGTGCGTGGGTGTGTGTGTCTGTGTGTGTGTGGGTATGTGTGTATGTGTCTGTGTCTGTGTGTGTGTGTGTGGGTGGGTGTGTGTCTCTGTGTGTGTGTGTCTGTGTCTGTGTGTGTGTCTGTGTGTGGGTGGGTGTGTGGGTATGTGTGTGTGTGTGTGGATGTGTGGGTATGTGTGTGTGTCTGTGTGTGTTGGTGTATGTGTGGGTGTGTGTGTCTGTATGTGTATGTGTGGGTGTGTGTGTATGTGTGTGTGTGTCTGTGTGTGGGTGCGTGGGTGTGTGTGTCCATGTCTTCTGTGTATAGGTGTGTGTGGGTGTGTGGGTATGTGTCTGTGGATGTGGGTGGGTGTGTGTCTCTGTGTGTATGTGTCTGTGCCTGGGTATGTGTGGGTGTGTGTGGGTGTGTGGGTATGTGTGTGTGTCTGTGTATGGGTGTGAGTGGGTGTATGTGTCTGGGTCTGGGTATGGCTGTGTGTGTGTCTATGTATGGATGTGTCTGGGTATGGGTGTGTATGTGTTTGGGTATGTGTGTGTCTGGGTATGGGTGTGTATGTGTGTGTCTGTGTATGGGTGTGTGTGGGTGTGTGGGTATGTGTGTGTCTGTGTGTGTTGGTGTATGTGTGGGTGTGTGTGTCTGTATGTGTTTGTGTGGGTGTGTGTGTATGTGTGGGTGGGTGTATGTGTGTGTGTCTGTGTGTGGGTGTGTGGGTATGTGGGTGTGTGTGTCCATGTCTTCTGTGTATAGGTGTGTGTGGGTGTGGGTGGGTGTGTGGGTATGTGTCTGTGTCTGGGTGTGTGTGGGTGTGTCTGTGTGTATGTGGGCATGTGTGTCTGTGTGTGGGTGTGTATGTGTGGGTGGGTGTGTGGGTATGTGTGTGGGGTGTGTGTGTGTCTGGATATGGGTGTGAGTGTGAGTGGGTGTGTGGGTATGTGTGTGTCTGTGTATGGGGGTGTGTGTGTGTCTGTGTGTGTCTGTGTATGGGTGTGGGTATGTGTGTCTGTGTATAGGTGTGTGTGTAGGTGGGTGTGTCTGTGTGTATGTAGGTGGGTGTGTCTGTGTATGGATATGTGTGGGTGTGCCCTGATAATGGTGCTCTTGCATCCCCTTGCCTCCCAGTGGTTTTTCTTCCTCCAGCCCCTGGCACTCGGCTCCTTGATGTAGCCATCTGAGGCCACATCATTCCCTTACCACCTATATGTCATCTTCCCAGGTCACCAGGTATGCCATTCATGGTGCCCCCTTCCCTTGAAGGCCGAGACTGGATGCCCCTGGACAGCAGAGAGTGGCTCCAGGCCCCACGGAAGCCCTGCCCGGCCTTGGAGCCCCTGCCCACCCCCTGCAGCCGTCCCCTCGGTGAGTGCCACCCCCCCCCCCCCCCCCCACTGGGCGGCCCTGAACAAGATCTGCGGGGCCCAGATGGATCCACCTGCTTTCCCCAGCTTGGCTCCGGAGCACAGCCTTCCCTGGCCCAGGGGTGGCCGGGTCGCCCAGGGCCCCTCTTTCTGGATACTCTCACCACCAAGTGCCTGCTGCACCCCATGCCGAGTGGGGTGTGGCCCCTGGACCATTTTGGAATCAGACCTCCCCACAGCTGTGTGGGGGAGGAATTCCTACCCCATTTCACACTTTCACAAACAGAGGCCTTTTTTTAGATTTATTTATGTATTGTGAAAGAGTTATAGAGAGCAAGGAAGAGACAGACAGATCTTCCATCTGCTGGTTCACTCCTCAGATGGCCACAATGGCCAGCTCTGGGCCAGACCAAAGCTGGGAGCCAGGAGCTTCTTCTGGGTCTTCCATGTGAATGCAGGGGTCCCAGCCCTTGGGCCATCCTCTGCTGCTTTCCCAGGCCATTAGCAGGGAGCTGGATTGGAAGTGGAGCAGCTGGGATTCGAACCGGTGCTCATATGGGATGCCAGAGTCTGAGGCAGCGGCCTAACCCACAATGTCACAACACTGGCCCCAAACACAAGCTGTTGAAGGTTAAACAGTGCCTGGGCGCAAGGTCCCAGAGGCAGAAAAGCAACAGAACAGGTGTTTCCAGGTGCAGAGCCTGTGCTGGGTCCAGCATAATGGCCATGGGGGTGGCAGAGTTATAGTTTTCTGGCCACCTCTTTATGCTGACGATATCCCAGGAGACTTCGGGAACCACCCAGTCAGCGGCCTGTCCTAATCTGAAGAGGAAGAAAGAAAAAAGGCAGCACTTACTTACCTGGGGATTCTCTAGACACGTGGAAAGGAGGCAGGCAGGCCAGGTGCCGGGCCCTGTGTCCCTCAAGCAGGCCCTGGCATCGGGGACGGAGGCTGATGGATTGGATGCTGTGAGGGGCCCAGGTGTGGCTGTACAGTGCCTTCGCTGATCAGGCTTCCTGGAGCAGCTGTGTGTGTGTGTTGGGGGGGGGGGGGTTGCGCTGGTCTGGAGAAGAGAATGAAGTGTTTGAGACTCAGCTGATGGGAGCAGAGCCAGGAGGGAGGGGCCCCCAGAGCCTGCTGCCGCCCCCACGTGCCCACCTGCCCCTGGCCTGCCGCACTTAGCAGTCCCTCTGTTGCAGGAGAGGCACATGGACTGGGGGCCCTCAGCCCAGAGCTGTACAAGCTCCCGGAGGACAAGAGTGAGAGCGACTTCCCCTCCGGCTGCCGGGGGCGGCTCTGGTTCTCCCTGGAATACGAGCAGGAGGCCGAGAGGCTGCTGGTGGGCTTGATCAAGGCTCGGCAGCTGCGGGCTCCCTCGGAGACCTGCAGGCCCCTGGTGAAGCTGCACTTGCTGCCGGACGAGCGGCGCTTCGTCCAGTCCAAGACCAGGTGCAAATCTGCCAACCCACAGTTTGACGAGCACTTCGTGTTCCAGGTACGGCCCCTGGAGCATCGGCACCTGGTGCCCGCCGGCCTCCTGGGCAGGGCAGACCTTGTGCCAGAGAGCCCTGGCCTCCTACCCAGCCAGCCCTGAGTGCCACCGGCGGGGTCAGGGCCTACGAGAAGGGCAGGAGAGAGGCTTGGAGAGGGGTGGCCAGAAGGCTGGGCTCCTCCAGTGCTGGCTGCGTGGAGACCAAAAGGAGAAGGTGTGGCTTTGCGCACTGACTGGGTGCTGGGCCCTGGCCCCTGGGACTTGGAGGAGCACCCCTGGGCCCTGGAGCTTTCTGGGTTGCTGGGATTCTGAGAAGGCAGAAGGTGGGATCTTCCTGCTTAGAAACACCCCACCCCCAGGACCCCTTGGAGTGGCTGTTCTGTGGCATCCTAGGGACAGGGACGGTGCCTTTGCTCACTTCAGGCTGGCTGGCTCAGGGTCTGGGGGTGGAGAGACTGCCAGGCCACAGAGCCAGGCCCAAAGAGGCCTGGGAGCCTCCACAGGTGACCTGAGGCCCTAAGGGGAGGCCAGCAATCGCCACCTGCCACGAGGCCTTTGGGCAAACGTTCTCTCAAGAACTGGGCAGCAAGCCAGCCCGGGAGGTGAAGAGAGGCCGGGCAGCTGCTTGCTGGGGCCACCGTGCACACCTCTCCCCCAGGGCCCCTGAGAGCTGGGGAGAGCGGGTGGCCTGGGGCGTGGCCCCCGGCTGTCCTGTCCATGAGAATTCACAGGTGAGCCTGCTCTGCAGGACATCAAGATCCTAGGTGGCAGCCGCACGGTCCCAGATCATGCCTGTGCCTTCTTGCCTGTACTGCGCCACCCCCGCCCCAGCCGCCCTCCCACCAGATCCCGGCCTCTCCTAAAGAGGGGAGGGGAGAAGGAGAAGGAAATCAGTGAGGATTGGCCATCAGCTCTAAGTCAGACTGTCAGTCTAAGTGATTGGCCAGTCTCTTAGGGGTCTGGGCTGGGGCCCAAGACTCCGGACGCAGCTCTAGCCAGGCATCAGGCGGCAGCAGCTGCTGCTGGTTCTGCCCCGCACTGCGCATGGCGGGCTCTGTGCCCATTTTCATTTCTTGGGGGCACTTGGCCCCACTGTAGAGAAGGTTCCCCCAAGGATGTCTGTGTTTGGTGGTGGTGGGGGGTGTAGACTCCTGCTTGAGACAGCCCTCCCCAAAGCACCTGTGTCCAGGACAACGTGTCCCATCGTCCCACCTGCTGTCCCCACACCTGGTCCCTGGCCCGGGTCCTTGTCTCCCCAGGTGTCCAGCAAGAACATCACCCAGAGGGTGCTCAGGTTCTCCGTGTACCACGTGGACAGGCAGAGGAAGCACCAGCTCCTGGGCCAGGTGCTCTTCCCCCTGAAGAATGAGACCCTGGCAGGCGGCTGCCCACGCACCATCTGGCGAGACCTGGAGGCCGAGGGCCTGGAGGTAAGGGCCAAGGTCACCAGGTGCGTGCCTCCGGGTGCCAGCGCTTCTGTGGGCACAACATCAGCCCTCAGCCCTCAGCCCTCGGCCCCCGCTCAGGAAGGTGGGACCAGGCCCCGAGCTGTGTGCAACCAGATTGCGGGGGGGGGGGGTGGACAGACCGGCTCCTGGCCAGTGCAGGACCACCTGAGACCCTTCACTCTGGGGCAATGTGAAAAATCCACATTTAGGTTCCCACCCCCAGGTCAAACAGCGGAGACAGGTGCCACCATGGCTGGACCAGTCCCGCCATCCCCCATCCCACCTGGGTCCACGTGACCCAGAACAGCGTGTGGCATCCCACGGGCCTGGATGGGCATCCTTGACTATGCTCCACACCACTGTTCACCAGTGCACGAGCTGATGCTGGGCTCCAAGGAGCCTCACGTGGGTGTGTCACGTCCACCCCCCCATGCCAGGCCCCTGGGAGGGTGGAGGGAGGGGGAGGCCCCACGGCACCTGCCAGAGTGACCAGGGTGGGGCACGTCCCGCTCCGCCTCGCAGCCTCCCTCGGAGCTCGGCGACCTCCAGTTCTGCCTCAGCTACAACGACTCCCTGGGCCGCCTGACGGTGGTGGTGCTGCGCGCCAGGGGCCTGCAGCTCCAAGAGGACCAGGGCGTTGTGAGTAAGTCACCTCCCTCTGCCTCCCTGCTGAGCCGGAGTCCGGCCTCCCCTCTGCCTCCCAATATCTGCATGCACACACCCCATCTCGGAGCGCTCGCTACCTCCTGCCAGTGTCTGCCTCCCTTGGGGGCTGTAAGCAAGCCCAAGCTCTGCCTCTGGCCTGCCACCTGCCCCCAGAGGGAGGGCTCCCATGCTCAGAGGCTCTGACACAAGCTGATGCTGCACCTGCTTCCCCCAGTCTCTCAGAACACCAGCGCTGACTGGCAGTCCCCTGTGTGGGTCCCCCAGCCACCTACTGGTCTTTACCTCGGGGTCCCTACACAAGCCAGAGAGTCCTGACCTTCCTCATCTGAATCCCACCCCTAAAAGGAGACTGAGGACCCCGCAGGCCGTTCCTGCCCCCGGGAGGGGATGATGAACGGGGCAGGGGGGCTGTGCGCATGGCGCCAGGCTCGGGTGCACAAAGGCAGCCTTTGCTTATGCTGGCTCGCAGTGTAAGCACGCTCCGGAGACGGAGGAAGGAAGAGGAAGAGAGCCAAGCGTTTCGCACGCCCCAGGGCCTTCCACTAATCAACCCCGTTTCCTCTGTGTGAGGGCTGGAAACCTGGCACCTGGTTGGGCCATGTGCCCTCCAGCCAGGCCTCCCGTGGGCTCTAGGCTCCTGCCCGCCTCTCCCAGCTCAGCAGAGGGGTGCACTTGTCTCTCTAGGTGTGTTTGTCAAAGTGTCTCTGATGAACCACAACAAATTTGTCAAGTGCAAGAAGACTTCAGCTGTGCTGGGCTCCACCAACCCCGTGTTCAACGAGACCTTCAGCTTCCAGGCCAGCGCTGCGGAAATGGACACTGCCAGTCTCAGCCTGACCGTGCTGCAGAGCGTCAGAGGAGCCGGTGAGGCCAGCCCCCTGCTGGGCTGTGGGGCCACGGGGGCAAGGGAGGGGCTGCTGAGGGCAGTCAGAGCGAACCCCTGACCTCAGAAGGAGCTGTGCAGTCTCTGTTTCCTGGGTAAGATGACCGGTGCTCAGAGAGGCTGCGATTCTTACCCGAGGACACACAGCTTTCCAGCAGGAGGGCTGGGAGTCATGCCCAGCACTAGTCCAGTGGGACCTGGTCTGGGTTCCCCCTAGGACGAGGTGGGGGGAGGGAGGCTGCCTAGCAGCAGGTGTCCTCGTGCCTTCTGGAGGAGCTGGTTGGGTGCCTGGCAGGTAACCGCAGCCAGCTCTGACCCACTGTTCCCCCAACCTGGCGTCCGCTGTCACCGTCCCAAGAGCTGGACTTAAGTCCCTTCTCTGCTGTGGCATTGGGTGGGTGCGTTTTACTGTTGGAAGCACAAAGGGACTTAAAGGTTCGTGGGAAAATGGAATTAAAAGGTAAGTCTATTTTGATGCGAAGAGTTTTTTCATAATTGCCGACTTGTTAAAGATTGTTTGCGTGCAGTGGCTGGTGAGATGCCTTCTTTCTGAAGGGGCTCTTAAGGGGGCTTACCAAGGCCTTCGGGAGGGTGAGGGGCAGATGGGTGGCCCGGCAGGCTCTCCTGGGTGGGGAGGGGGCTCACCGCTTCCTGCCAGTGGAGGACAGCGCACGTGGCACTGGGGACGCTGCTGGGTTGCTGGGCTTCTGCACCCAGGAGCCTAACAGCACTCTCCCTGCCTGCAGAGAGCTGTCCACTGGGCCGGGTCGTGGTGGGCCCCTACATGTACACCCGCGGCAGAGAGCTGGGACACTGGGATGAGATGCTCCGCCAGCCCAAGGAGCTGGTGAGGCGCTGGCACGCACTCTGCCGCCCCTTCCAGGCCTGACCCGGCGGCAGTGGCCAGGACCAGGAAAGCTCCACCCTGGCCAGCAGCTGTGGCCAGGAGACCCTCCCACACCCAGCAGAGCGCGTGTCCCCCGGAATTATTCAACCTGGTGATGACTGTGCGTGCTCCGTGGGAGCCCAGGGTGACGCGACACCCACCCTGGCATCGACAACACGCAGCTCCAGGGACGTAATGTGGAGCAGGCTGAGGGTCGCCCCACTGCTGGCTGGGTGAGGAGGGCCTGTCAGTTTGTCTCCTGGGACTGTAGCAGATCGCACCCACACCTTGTCACATGGGCCGCCCTCCCCAGAGTCCAAAACTGCACACCCCTGCCCCGGCAGGTGCTCAGCTCCCGGTGTTTGTGGCCGCCTTGGCTAGTAGCATTCCGATCCGGCGCTCTCTCTAAGGACAGGAAGAACTCGTGGCTCTAGTATAGCCCACAGGGACCGCTGAAAACCTGACAATTCCCGGAGGATTGCTGCGCCGTGCCAGGTGATGCGTCCGGGGAAACTCACTGAGACGGCCGTTTCCACAAATCCCGTTCATCCACCGTCCGGGGTTTGTTCTCGGGCCATGGAGTGTCCTTGTGCTTCCCACCGGTCTACCTTTGCATCCCAGTGAATGCCACGGAGCTTATGGAAAAGGCGCACTATTCATGCAAAACTGATTCAAAAAAAGCATTGTAACTATTAAAGTAATAAAGTAAAACACCCGAGAGGAGCTAGCTTCTAGAGGGAAAGGTTTGTTTTTGTTTGTGGTTTTGGAATTTCATTAGTCTGGCGGTGCCGGGATGCACAGGGACAGAGGGTCACACGGCCAGCCAGGAAACAGAGAGGCTGTCACTGGAGCACCTTCATCCAGTCACTTTCCAAATGTCCTTTGCTGTGATGGGATTAAATTCCATCCTTAACCCACCGCTGTAAGACGCTGGGTTTCAAGCCCTTAGGTGTCCCTAAACTATTCCCCAAAGCACAATACTGAGAGACGGGAATTCAGGAGCTCGGCTCAGCTGTGCAGGTGTGCTGACAGGAGGAGCCCGCGGCGGCCGGGTCTCAATGTCACCGCGGCCGACTGGGCAGCCTGTGATGATGACACAAGGATTTATCCACAAGGTGTGGAGAAGCTACCTGCCGAGCAGGTTTGAATGGATAGCCAGAAAAAATAACGAATGAAGTGGTTTGCTGGCGACGGTCCCTCAGCTTGGCTCTCTCAACATGGCTGGGCAGAGCGCTCTCTCGGTTCAATTCAGTCTACCATGGCCATCGCGGACTGTGATAGCCGCCTATTGCGGGGTTTGCTGTTTTTTGCCCAAATCACTGACCTGGTCCCCACCTGTGGCCTTGCTTCAAAGGTGTTGCGACCCTCAGAGCGCAATGTCGGGAGAGTGAGGAGAAAGGCAGCAGCTAGAGGAGCTGCAGGAGGTCTCCGCACATCAGTCTCTGTGACATCCGCACAAGGCCCGGGAGGGCAGGGAGGGGCCCCGGCTCGGGAGGGGATCTGAATCCAACACTGCCATCATGGTTAGCTCTGCCGGGCCCAGTGCAGACCACGCAGAACCTGCACACCACCGCATCCCTGCAGGTGGGCGAGGGGCGGCTCTGGGGGCTGCCGTCTCCACCTGCTCTCTCCAGAAATGACCTGCCGCCAGCCAGGATGGCTGCCTGCCCTTTGTTCCTGATCCTCTGCTTGGATCACTCTGCGGATTGACAAACTCCCAGGGAGCAGGTGGGCGGATGCGGCCAGGGCACTGTGGGGACAGAGCCTGGAGTGCGTGGTGAACCTGCCAGGAAGGGGTGGGGCCGTGACTGGCAGGCTGGGCGCAGCACCGCCTGGGTGGCCTCACGCCCAGCCCCAGCCTCCTGTAGCTTGTCTCTGGCGCCCTCTACTGTTCAACAGCGGACTCTCCATGAAGGACCGTGCAGCGGTGGGGATGCTACTTTCTGCCAAGGGCCATTTGGATATTAACATCATTCGTGGACCGTACACTGTCAGCCTTACAATTTGCCTGCTGTAGATTTATCGGGCTGTCAGGTCCTGCCTGCGGTTGCCTCGGCAGGGCCAGACCGAATTATTTTGGGGGCTGGCCGTTCCCCACCCCTGCTCCAGCAGTGTTTGCAGAGTGCGGCTGGGAAGATGGATTTGCAGCTGCAAGAGCATAAATCGCCAGCTGGTGTACCAGCCTTCTCAGCCCCTCAAGCATTACCTGTTCCCTCCCCACCAAAACAACCGCGGCGGGGCGTGCAGTGTGGGGCAGGATTAGTGGCTCCTCGGACGTCCGCATCCCTTGCCCAGAGTGTTGCTCTGGGCCCAGCTCCTCGGCTTCTGATCCAGCTTCCTGCTAACGGGCACCCTGGGAGGCAGCTCCAGGGCTTGGGTCCCTGCCGCCCATGGGGGAGACCTGGACTGAGCTCTGGGCTCCTGGTCTAAACCTAGTCCAGCCATGGCTGTTGTGACCATTTGGAGAGTGAACCAGTGGATGGAAGCTCTCTCTCTCTGTTCTTTTCAAGCATAATGAAAATAAATTTTAGGGGTCAGCACTGTGGTGCAGCGGGTTAACGCCCAGGCCTGAAGTGCCAGCATCCCATATGGGCACCGGTTTGAGTCCCGGCTGCTCCACTTCCAATCCAGCTCTCTGCTATGGCCTGGGAAAGCAGAAGATGGCCCAAGTGCTTGGGCCCCTGCACCCACATGGGAGACATGGAAGAAGCTCCCGGCTCCTGCCTTCAGATTGGCACAGCTCTGGCCATTGCAACTAATTGGGGAGTGAACCATCGGATGGAAGACTCCGTGTGTGTGTGTGTGTGTGTGTGTGTTACTCTTTCAAAAAATAAATCTTAAAAAATTTTTTTGAAAACACAGCCTCTGATCTCTTCTCTATGGCAGTCATGTCTATGCTTTTACCACATAACCATGCAGCTCTCAACACTAGCTATATTATTAAATAGTCAGAAAGGAGGAATTCTCATGTGTAGCATAATTTGCTCATGTCCGTCACTGTGTGATATTCCATTCCCTAAATAAATACCTGCCTAATGGGCCGGCACCGTGGCTCAATAGGCTAATCCTCCACCTAGCGGTGCCGGCACACCGGGTTCTAGTCCTGCTCAGGGTGCCGGATTCTGTCACAGTTGCCCCTCTTCCAGGCCAGCTCTCTGCTATGGCCAGGGAGTGCAGTGGAGGATGGCCCAAGTGCTTGGGCCCTGCACCCCATGGGAGACCAGGAAAAGCACCTGGATCCTGGCTCCTGCCATCGGATCAGCGCGGTGTGCCGGCTGCAGCGGCGGCCATTGGAGGGTGAACCAACGGCAAAGGAAGACCTTTCTCTCTGTCTCTCTCTCTCACTGTCCACTCTGCCTGTCAAAAAAAAAAAAAAAAAAAATCAAAAACTTGTGAAAATTGAATTAAAAGATATTTTGGTACAAAAATTAAATCAATGCATATGAGAGGTATTCCAAGAGTTCCTTCATGAAAAGTATCTATTATGAAAAAAAAATACAAATTACAAAAGAACTACACATGTATCTCAAAATTTTAGCACCAAAATAGACTTACTTTTTTTCTTTTAAGATTTATTTGAAATGCAGAGTTCCAGAAAGAAATGGAAAAAACAGAGAGAGAGAGAGCTCTTCTATCCGCTGGTTCACTCCCCAGATGGCCAAAATGGCCGGGGCTGAACCAGGCTGAAGCCAGGAGTCACGAGATTCATCTGGGTCTGCCATGTGGATGCAGGGGCCCAAACACCTGGGCCATCTTCACCTGCTTTTCCCAGGACATGGGAGGGAGCTGGATCAGAAGTGGAGTGGCCAGGACTCAAACCGATGCCTGTAGATGCTGGCAGACAGGGACTTTTACCTGCTATGCCACAGACCAGCTCCCCAAATAAATTCATCTTTTAATTCTATTTTGCACAAACTTTTTGTGTCCTATTTAACTTTTCCCATACTTGGAGATCACAAAGATATTCTCCTCTACTATTTTCTAAAAGCTTTGTTATTTTGCTTTTCAAAGCTAGATCTAGAACTTATTTGACATCAACATTAATAAAAGCTATGACAGAGTTTCCACCAGGGTATCGCACTATCCCAGCACAACTGACTGAAAAGAATATCCTCCCCCCACTGTCTGCTGTAATAAATCTGCATACACACCTGAGTCTGTGTATGTCTGGTCTCATTTATCACTTGGCCCGTCTCCATACTAACACCACTATGTCTTCATTATGGATTATGACAAGTCGCTATCTGGTTGAATAAGTCCTCAATCTGACTCTCCAAGAGTGTCTTAGCTAGTGCAGCACTTTGCATTTGCGTATAAATTTTAAAAGTTTGCCTGTTAGGCTCTTCACACCCCATAGAATAAGTAGAAGCCTCTTGTGATTCTGACTGGCACTGCACTGAGCTCCTGAGTCCTCCAACCTGTCCACAGGATTGGTATGCCCTTCTATTTAGCATTTTAAAACATTTTGTTTTTTAAAAATTTACTTATTTATTTGAGAAGCAGAGTTAGAGAGAGAGAGACAGGTCTTCCATCAGCTGGTTCACTCTTCAGATAGCCGAAACCGGGCTGAGCCAAAGCCATGACCCAGGAGCTTCTTCTGGGTCTCCCACACAGGTGCAGGGGCCCAAGCACTTGGGCTATCTTCCACTGCTTTCCCAGGTCACAGCAGAGCTGGATTAGAGAAGGAGTAGCCAGGACTCAAATTGGCACTCATATGGGATGCCAGTGCCAAAGGCAGAGGCTTATTAGCCCATTATGCCACAGCGCTAGCTCCTAGCCTTTCTTTAAATAATGAATACTGTTGCATGCAGATATCTTATACATCTTTCATTAAATTTTCCCCTAGAAATTTTTTTCAAGGTATTTTAAATTTTTTTATTTCTTGCTGTTATACACAAATAAAGTTGGTTTTCCTATTTTGACCTTGTACCCAATCATACTAAACTCACTAACAATTTATCTTTGGATTCTTTTGAGTCTTCAATATACATAATATATAAATTTACATAATACATAAATGATATATGATATACATATCATAGCTTTATACTTTAGTTCTAATACTTTTAATTTTTTTGTTTTGCTTGATTACCCCATCTAGGAACACAGAAAAATATGTACATCCTTATCTCTGTTCTCAGAAAATTTTTCACATTTCATCCTTAAGTAAAATATTTACTGTAGACGTTAGCTCCTTAGGATAAATATTGCTAAAATTTTCTGTGACCTTTTCCTAGTCTAGTGGGAAAGAGGCCCATGTCCCACATGGGAGTGCCTGGACCCGGTACCTGGTCCCAGCTCCTGATGCCAGCTTGTCACCAACACAGACGCTGAGAGGCAGCAGCGAGGGCTCCTGGATTGCATTCTCAGCCATCAGGGCACTGGAGAGGGAACCAGTGGACAGGAGCTCTGTCTGTCTGTCTGTCTGTCTTCAGAGACGCACCAGGAGTCTTGCCAAAGTTCATGGAAAATGTTTTGTTATGAAAATGCTATGTGTTGATTTCAAATTTTTTGTTGCACCAAAATAAACCCACCTTTGAATTCTGTTTTCTGCTCCTAGCTGAGTCCCCGCAAGCTCGCTGGGGCCTCTGTTATGAAGGCTTTAGTCCCATTCACGGGGGCTTACCGTCATGGCCTCATCACCCCAGAGGCCCCGTCTGAAGAGAACCCCCTTGGGGATTAGGTGTCAACCTACGAATTTGTGGGGGACAGATTCAGCCCACAGCAAGAGCCACGGCTTCCTGATCCCCATCAAATGGATCACAACTTCCGGGGTCAGGTTCAGATCCCCCGAGGCAGGAGGAAGGCATTTCCAGCCCAAATAAGGTTTCTCAACAATGAGTGTTGGGGCTGACGTTGAGGCACAGCAGGTAAAGCAGCCGCCAGTGGTGCCAGCATCCCATACGGGTGCCAGATGGAGTGCCAGCTGCTCCTCTTCTGGCCCACCTCTCTGCTATGTCCTGAGAAAGCAGTGAAAGATGGCCCAAGTGCTTGGGCCTCTGCGCCCGCGTGGGAGACCCGGCTTCAGATCAGCCCAGCTCCGGCGGTTGTAGCCAATTGGGGGGAGTGAACTAGTGGATGGATGACCCCCCCCCCCCGCCCCTCCTTCTCTCTGTGTAACTCTGACTTTCAAATAAATAAACAAATCTTTAAAAAAAAAAAAACTTAAAATAAGTGTTAACTCATGAAACATACATCAAAGGCTGTGAGGAGATGTGCCCTAGGGTTGTCTCAATGGAAATGGTTTCAAGATTGCTTATCAGTAGGCTGGGAGGAGCCAGTTCATCCAGGAAATCATTTGGGTGGATGTCTGGTGAGGCCACAGCTTGAGGACAAGGTGCGGAAGGCACACTTAAGGGAACAGCTCTCCTGGTGGGCTTACCCCGATGGGCAAATTTCATCCAGAATTCTGGTGACACTGACACAGCAGAGATTAGAAGGCTAATCCCAGGCTTGAGCTTCATCACCCATGAGGTGGACGACCCAAAGGAGCCAACTGTGTTTTAAATCCCAGTCTCCCTAGACACTAAATGGGGCAATTGTTTCTCTAATCACCTTTCGAAACCTCAGCGCTAATTCCCTCATCACCCGAAGAGACTCATCAAAGAAAGCCTTGTTCGGGCCTTTCCTTTCTGTCAGACTCCCCCAGCCTTCTACACAGAAAAGCGCATCTGTGTGTACACACGCACACGCAGGCACTTGTGCGTGTTATTTCTCAAAGAACCATAAAACTCCTGAGGTTCATTCCCAGGGAAGCCAAGTTTGAAAACAATGTCAAAGACGCAGCAGGCTCTTTTTTAAACACACACAACATAAACCTGCCCATTTCACCAGGAATGGGGCTGTTTTCAGGCAGTGGTGTTCATCCGTTAACACAGCCTGCTCCAGGCTCAGAGACTTCAGGTTCAGGCCCCCACTGGTGCCCCCACTTCCCGCCAGCTCCTTCTGTGCTCATGATGCAAACAACTGTGGGAAGTCTCTTGGGAGATGCAGGGAGGCACTCACACGTTAGATGAGAACTAACCACAGGTCCCTCTTTCTCCCTTTATGAGTTGAAGCACAATGTTCTTTCCCCTTCATTTTCAATGTATTTTAAGGAAGGACATGCTTGTCCTGAACCTAAGCGTAGGCTTTTACAAACTACTCTATTATCACGTACAGCTACAATCAAGAAAATCATTTCACAGGGATTGTTTGTGAATGTCAGGAGCAAGGAGTGAACAAGCAGACGAAAGAGCTCCCTTTCTGACACTCTTTCAAGTAAAAAAATAAATAATTCTTTAAAAAAGGAACGAGGAGGATTGCTTCTCGGCCGAGTGTGAAAATGAATGAGGGGAAGTACCTAGGGTTCGTGAGCACAGCAGAAAAGCGAAGTCTGTGGAAGGGCCTTGTGCAACGCCTGGAGTGGCAGACCGCGCACTGAGCAAATGGCGGACCTGGGCTTACTAGGGACCCACTCCGCGACTGCCTCCACTGCTCGATCATCTCTCTAGGAGAAATTTTGGAAAGGGAAAAAAACCAATTTTTTAAACCTCATGGAATTTTCTTAGAAAAAATAGCTTTAATTTATATATTTAACACAATTCTCTTTGTAAAATACATTTGCTAAAAAGTCCAAAGCAAAACCCTGTCATTCATTTACTTCAGAAGACAAATAATTGTTCAGTGCATCTTCCTTGAAATGCCTGCAGTCTCTGCCCGGGGCCTCAGGGAAAGGCAGAGGCTCCGTGCTACACACTGTCGGGATGAAAATCCAGCAGGGAGAAGTCCTGTTGCAGTGGGTAGCTGTTTTCGTCTAACACAAACAGGCTCCGAAGCTTCAGCACACGGGGCTCCCCACCGCCTGCCAACAAGGAGTGCAGCAGATCCGCGGCGACCATCCCGTAGGTGACCTTGGAGGAGGGCACTGAGGAAGTGACACATACAGGCTCAGCACGCAGCCCCACAGAAACACACACACTCTCCCTCGGCCCCTCCAGTCTCCGCGCATTTTCAAGTTCTTTTCCTAAACCTATGCTTCTATTTGCCAGTTATTGAAGGTCATCTAGACTGATGGCTGGACATGCAAAGCAGGTGCAGATGACACACGGTTCAGACAGAAAGCAGCACCTGTCATGGCACAGCTACCAGCTTCTTAAAACAGTACACTGCTACAATGCAATGTTTATCTTTCAAACAAAACTTACTAGACACTCAAAAGAAGAGCACCTGTGCTCCTGAATTAACGGTTTCAGCAAGAACAACCTCTTGGTGGCATGTTGCTACGTTACCTATCAGTCTGTCCAGGCAGTCTGGTGCAATGTTGAGAAGCATCTTCTCTATCAGCTTGGATCCTACGTGGATGCAAACCTTATGGCTTCCATCAGCTACGGTCATTAAAGCTGGCCTGAAAAAAATAAATGGAGAAGGGCATTGAGAGTGCTCTCCTCCAACAGAGCCAGAGCACGACTCCCGGCCCGCCCCTCAGGCACGTGGTGATCCTGGGTCCTTTCCTCCTCCTCGCGATTCTCTCCTGCAGGCTGTCTTCTCTGTCTGCTCAACAGGCAGACTCTCTGTGATGTCCCGTGGCCTGTGCTAAGCTCAGGATGTACACTAGTGACAAGACACATCCATTCCTCCATTCATGGAACGTAAGTAGTCAGTGGACACAAAGAAAATAAACTTTCAACAATGGTGCTGAGAGGACCCCATGGAGACGTAACAGTCTCCCGCAGGCCACACTGGGACAACTGTGCATCCACATGCAGAATAACAACAGTGGACTCACATTCGTACACCATACACAAAAATGAACTCAGAAGAGAGAAGGGACAGGTCATGAGACACCATGGAGAGTAGACAGGTCATATCCAAACACATGGAGACAGTATGATCAGCCAGGCAGAGCACACAGACAGAACAAAGAGGACTCTGGGCGGACCCCAACATTAGCGGCAGAGGCTGAGAGGGAAGGGTCTGACAGGCAATTTAGAAACCAGAAGGCAGGGCCCCTGAAGCTAGGTGAGGGGAAGTACGAGCAGTGGCGCCACAGCAGCGTGGGCTGGCACTCGCGATGCCTGCGTCCCCTGTCAGAGTGCCTACGATAGAGTCCTGCCTCTGCTTTCAATCCAGCTTCCTGTTAACATGCACTCTGGGAGGCAGAGGGTAACAGCTCAAGGAGGGAGGCCTGGATGGAGATCCTGGCTCCTGGTTTCAGCCTGTCCCAGCCCCGGATATTGTGGGTATTTGAGGAGTGAACCAGCAGATAGAAGATTGATTTTTCTCTGTCTCTGTTTCTCCCTCTCTCTCTGCCTGCCTTTCAATTAAATAAATAAATAATAAAAGGCAGAAGTAATCAAATATATATCCATAGATGAGGCAACATTAAAATTGCTGCTTGCCCTGACAAAAGCAGTTTGAGGGGCCAGCATTGTGGCAAATGGATTAAGCCACTGCCTGCAGTGCTGGCATCCCATATGGGTGTCGGTTCAAGTCTCGGCACCCTGCTAATGTGCCTGGGAAAACAGGAGAAGATGGCCGAAGTCCTTGGTCCCCTACACCCATGTGGAAGACCCAGATGAAGGTCCTGGTTCCTGGCTTTGGCCTGGCCCAGCCCAGGCTGTTGCAGCCACTTGGGGGGTGAGCCAATAGATGGAAGATTGCTCTCTCTCTCTATCTCTCTGTAACTGCCTTTCAAATAAATAAAATGAGCCTTAAAAATAATGTCTGGATTAATTTTTTAAAAAGAAGTGGTTTGAGTGGCAAGGAAGAAGCAGAATGGAGTAAATGATATTGAAAGTCACCTAACATACGAGGCCTTAACTTCAGATGAGAACTCCATTTTCATCACATTATATATCATGCATCTTTATTCAATCCTCTTCCCCACAAAAGCACACTTTCAAAGCAACAGGAAAATTCACTCACATATCTATAGCAAACACAAATATCTAAGAAGGGAAACAAGGTTCATGAGCGAACATTTTCTTGAATATGCCACTTTTTTTTATTTGACAGGAAGAGATATAGATAGTGAGACAGAGAGAAAGGTCTTCCTTCTGTTGATTCACCCCCCAAATGGCCAGTAGGGCTGGCGCACTGCGCCGATCTGAAGCCAGGAGCCAGTGCTTCTCCTGGTCTCCCATGCGGGTGCAGGGCCCAAGCACTTGGGCCATCCTCCACTGCCTTCCTTCATAGTAATCTCCCGATTACTGCTATTTTTTTTTTTTTTTTTTTTTGACAGGCAGAGTGGACAGTGTCTCGATTACTGCTTTTAAAAATTCCTGTCATGATAACCGGGCAATTTGTGCTTTCATAAACAGCTATTTGTCACTCAGGAAGTACAATTTATTCTCTTGGAATAGCTTCAATTTGTTCTTGTATGAAAGTAAGGGCTGATATATAATTTTTGGTCATTTCTCACCCTATACTAATAATAATCATTTTCCATCACGTCAGCTTGCTTCGATGCCTTACCTGTAGTAGATTTTCTTCCTCATACATGGCAAGCAGTTAAAACACTGTTTGTAGATCTTATTTTCATCCGTCTCTAGTTCCAGTCCACACTTTGCACAGCCAGTGTATATGATTTGGGGAAGAGAAGCGAAGACCCTCCCCAGAGAAGTGTGAGCATTTAGTGCGATCTCCTGAGCTGCTGCAGTGGGAAATGCCAGCTCCAGAATCCGGGCTTTAATTAGAGTCACTCCTAGAGAAGGCAAACCAAAAGGAACACTAGAAATTCTGGACCAAACGTGTTGCGCTGATTTACAAATACGGGGTTAGTCACAGGCTCACCCGGAGGCCCTGCTCTGGGCCTTCTATCTCCCCAGACAAAGGCTCCCTGTGGTCTCAGCACTGACTCCAGATTCTAAGGGGAGGACATGCATCTGCCTGCAGCTAACCCGGCTGACAGGGCGGGTGCTTTCTCCCTCCTCTCCTCTAGAATCAAGCACAGTTTAAGCCTTCGTTTAGTACTGCAGATACACGAACCAGTTACCATGCCCTTTCTCCCTGCCCTGTCTTCTTTTAAAATGATCACAGCCAAAAGACAAATAGAACATGAGTTATTCTACTCTCCACCTTGTCCAAAAATAATATACCAACAGTTTACCCTCTTTTTTTTTTTTTTACAGGCAGAGTTAGACAGCAAGAGACAGAGAGAAAGGTCTTCCTTCCGTTGGTTGGTTCACCCCCCAAATGGCCACTATGGCTGGCGCTGTGCCGATCCAAAGCCAGGAGCCAGGTGCTTCCTCCTGGTCTCCCATGTGGGTGCAGGGCCCAAGCACTTGGGCCATCCTCCACTGCCTTCCCGGGCCACAGCAGAGAGCTGGACTGGAAGAGGAGCACCCGGGACAGAACCCGGAGTACCGGCACCACAGGCGGAGGATTAGCCTAGTGAGCCGCGGCGCCGGCCAACAATTTACCCTCTTTAAAATCTTTTTTAGGGGGCCGGCGCTGTGGCATAATGGGTTGAGCTACTGTGTGCGGTGCCAGCATCCCATATGGGTGCCGGTTCAAGTCCCAGCTGCTCCACTTCCGATCCAGCTCTCCACTATGGCCTGGGAAAGCAGTGGAAGATGGCCCAAGTGCTTGGGCCCCTACGCCCACGTGGGAGACCCAGAAGAAGCTCCTGACTCCTGGCTTCGGATCAGCGCAGCTCCGGCTGTTGCAGTGAACCAACGGATGGAAGACCTCTCTCTCTTTCTCTGTCTCTCTCTCTGTCTTTCCTTCTCTTTCTGTGTAACTCTGACTTTCAAATAAATAAATAAATAAATATTTTTTCAAAAAATCTTTTTTACTCCCAATTTCCTGCCTGTCATCAACCTGCTCGGGGTGCACATTAAGCACCCTAATTTCCTAAACAGTTCTTGAATGACTCACCAGGACCTCTAATGGCCATCCACCCATTAGACAAATCCTTTCTCTGTGACCTGCCAGACACACTGTTAGTTTATCTTTGCCTGTTGAACACAGGAGTTTATCAGAGCATTATTCTCCCTTCCTCTCCATGTTTAATTTAAAGATTTCTTTAAGCCTTCAAATTTGTTCTTTCTCATCACTGTAGACGCTAGAATATCCCAGGCCAACACCTCATCGCTCTGGTCTCCACTCGCTTTTCCTGTCACCTCTCTCAGGGTACCATGAACAGCAGCTCTGCTGTTCTTTAGTTCTTCTACTTGTCTCAGCCTTTCAGTGCCCAAAGAAGGCGCATGTCTCTTCCAATTGCACCACGTTTCCCAAGTTAGCACGAGAGGTCATGGTTGCACATCTAATAACCCACCATAGACACGCTCAATGACTAAAACACTATTGAGGGAAGACTTCAGTCCGTTTAAAAGAATGCCATCGTTATCCTACCACTGTATAAACATACACGCCTGCTTAGGAGAAGTAATATGGCACTCTGAATGTGGGCTGCTTGCAAGGGGCTTGCAGCCTGCTGAGCCGACATTCTGTGGGCAGTGGGGGAGACGCTCGGTGAACGTTGTCCTCTCTTTACAAGGAGGCAGACACAGTCCTGGCCCTACTCTCACTGCTGTAAAGCAAGCAGACCCCTGATCTCCAAGAACATGGCCACTCCTGGGTTCATCCTTGAGCCAGAGGGGCCAGATCAGTGCTGCGGCCTCCTATTTCATTACTATCCATGGAGTTGTTAATTTTTATGTTTAAAACCAAGCCAGGCACATTGGCTGAGTTTTCTGATCTAGCCATCCCAGCAGGTCACTGGCAAATAGTAAAACTATAATCTGGCACTTGACTAGGGTGGAGTAAGAGACTAGATTCTTGCCCATATCTTGAGTTATAAATCAAAAATAAATATTTGGTCTGCTCCTGATTTCTGGCACAAAATTCCTAAAACGCTTGGAATCTGCACAGTTGATAAAAGTGAGATGATTGGTATCTGGGGACCAATAGGTAGCTTTGGGAGGGGATCAGGAAGGCCAAAGCAGGATTAGAAGGTTGGAACTTTGATCTCTCCAGTCCCATCCTCCCGGGGAGAGGGGCTGGAGATTGAGTTAAGCACCACTGGCCAATGACTTAATCATGCCTGTGGAATGAAGACTTGATAAAAACCCTATGCAACCAGGTTTGGAGAACTTCTGGGTTGGTGAGCATATCCATGGGCAGAGAGGGTGGAGCGCCCAATGAGGGCATGCAGGCTCTATGCCCTACCCCCCATAACTTGCCTTATACATCACTTCCATTTAGCTATTCTTGAATTGTATCCTTTATAACAAACCACAAATGGTAGTAAAGAGTGCTCCTGAATTCAGTGAGCCATTCTAGCAAATGATCAAGTCCAAAAAGGGGGATGTGGGAACCCCCAGCTCTGTACAGAGTCAGACAGAGACATGGGAACCTGGGCACCCAATACTTGTGACTGATGTCTGAAGTCAGGGCACCCTAACTCTTCACCCTGAGGAGCCCGATACCACCTCTGGGTATGTGCTATCAGAAGTGCACTGATGGGGCCAGCACTGTGGCCTAGTGGGTAAAGCCACAGACTGTAATGCCAGCATCCCATATGGGCACTGCCTGGGAAGGAGACCCCAGACAGCTCAGAGCTGGTGCTTTCCCTGAGCTGACAGGAGCTGGAGCTTTGGGTCTGTGAGGCCAACATGGCTGTGAGTTCTCAGGGGTAGGGCACTGGACAGACAGAGGGGGGTGCAAAGAGCAAGAACTCTGGAGCACTGACCAGCAGCCAAGGAAAGAACCACCCAAAAAACTAGGAACATCCCCGGGGTGAGCACAGATCTGGGAATAGTGCCTCTCCCACGAGCTAGAGTGGCAATTCTCACAACACACAGGGCGCTGAATAGAGAGCATGGGAACTGTACTTGGAGGGAAATTTATGACGCTGAAGATCTATAGTGAAAAAAAGAAAGGTCTCATATCAACAATCTCAATTCCTACCTTAAGTAATGAGGAAAAGTAGGGGCTGGCGCTGTGGCACAGCGGGTTAATGCCCTGGCCTAAAGTGCCAGCATCCCATATGGGCACCGGTTCAAGACCCGGCTGCTCCATTTCCAATCCAGCTCTCTGCTATGGCCTGGGAAAGCAGTAGAAGACAGCCCAAGTCTTGGGCCCCTGCACCTGCGTGGGAGACCCGGAAGAAGCTCCTGGCTCCTGGCTTCGGATTAGCACAGCTCTGGCTGTTGTGGCCATTTGGAGAGTGAACCAGCAGATGGAAGACCTTTCTCTCTGTCTCTCTGTGTCTATAACTCTGCTTCTCAAAGAAATAAAAAAAGTCTATGAAATTTTGAACCTCAAAGGTATTTTTTTTGTTACTTCACTCAAAACAGATCACTGTAATCACATTTACTTAATGGGAGGTGTACAAAAATTCATCATCAAAGGCATTTTTCTCTGTGATGTGCTTCTGAGGATGAATTTTATCTACACTCTCCACACATATCTGAGTTTGGGAAGTATGCTGTTACGTTTACAGGGCAGTAAGTAAGCGTCACACGATTTACATCACTGTGAAATCTTTACAGCTGTGTCCACACGGCAGCCAACAGACTTCCTAAGGTGTTTATGTCTACAGTGGCTCTGGTGAAGGTGCTTTTTCTACTTCTGGTTTATCAGACAATGAGCTGTTGGTAACTACGCACAAAAATGCATTACAAGTTCACCTCAAAGGACTAGAGGCAAAAAGCTAAGAAGCTGCTAACATCTGGTTCAGCTATTTGCAAGGATATGTATTTCACTTTTATAGTCATTATATTATACATTCTTTTTAGAAATGGTAGCTTCTTTGCATATATTAAAACTAGCAACGTTTTAGGTATACAATGATCTTACCTGAACACTTATCTTGCAGGTGAGTTGCTAAGTCTGACACCTTCAGTGAGGACGGTGGATTTGTTTGAAATTTTGCTTTAAATGTAATTGCCCTTATATCATCATCAAATAGACACTCGCAGGATGACCAAGGTGTTGTATGTAATTCTAGGTTTTCTAGTACACCATTAGGCTGAACAAAAAGATATTTAAATTCCCAAATACAATCTTAAACAAAAACAAATAAAAACAAAAAGTCACCAAAAAGTAAAAAGTCTAGGTTCAAGATCAGATTAAATAGATTGACCTGATTGGATCAGTTAACTACAAATTTTATTACTAAAGAATTTGAGTATCAAGATACAAAATATGGAGCCAGTGTTGTAGCTTCACAGTGAAAGCTGCAGTGGAAGATGACCCAAGTATTTGGGCCTCTGCCACCCACATGGGAGACCTGGATGAAGCACTGGCTCCTGGCTGGTCCAGTGCTGGCTACTGTGGGGCCATCTGGGGAATGAACCAGAGGATGGAAGATCTCTCTCTCACTCTCGTATACACACACACACACACACACGTTCAGCCTTTCAAATAAATACATAAATCTTTAAAAAATAAAAATGCAATAAAACAAGACGAGGTTTCTCAGCATTAACTTTTCTGATAACAACTAGGTTTGCAGTTTCCATAAATCTAACCCACTTTTTTGGATAGAGAATTTAAAATAAGTCAGGAAATCTCTCCAATCAGAGTATCATTATACAGAACTAAAGAACATATATTCCAAGTTGCTATTTAACAACCAATTATTATTTTTAAAATAGCTTTCTATTCTGAGAAATCAGACAAGCTAAGTAAATAAATAGATAGCAGCCATAACCTCAATACCCTAAAATAAAATAGTTAACATTTTAGTGGACAACCAGTTGTTTTGGATTTATTTGAGTTTTAGTTAATGTGCTAAATATATGTTTTTATATCATTAAGTATTATTCTACAGTATCTTTAAAAGTTGCAATATATTATTTATATATGAATATGCAATCTATAAAAACTGCACAAATAAGGAGCCAGCACTGTTGCATAACAGTGCCAGCATCCCATATGGGTGCCGGTTCAAGTCCCATATGCTCCAGTTCTGATCCAGCTCTCTGCTATGGCCTGGGAAAGCAGTAGAAGATGGCCCAAGTACTTGGGCCCCTGCATCTGCATGGGAGACCCAGAAGAAGCTCCTGGCTTTGGATCGACGCAGCTCTGGCCGTTGCGGCCAATGGAGAACGGACCATTGGGTGGAAGACCTCTCTCTCTCTCTGCCTCTCCTTCTCTCTCAGTGTAACTCTGACTCTCAAATCAATAAATCTTTAAAAAAAAAAAAACTGCACAAATAAACCAAAATCTTAAAATTATAAGAATCCTCTACTTTGAGACTCTTTGGTTGCTTTTATTTTTCACTATTATAAACAGAACTGAGATAAACAGATTTTTCGCTACATCTTTATATCATGATAAATGACTAGAGGTCTAATTATTAACTCTTTGAGGTACTCTTGTTCTTACTATTCTCTCTACTTTTGTGTATGTTTTATGGCTTTTACAATAAAAAAATTTGAAGAATAAATGCAGAAGCTCACCCACACCTAAAATTCAAACTAAAGGCATAAAGAGAAAATAAAAACCACATAATACCACACAAATACCATTGCTAGCATTAAGAAAGCCATTTCTCGATTTTTAAATATACACACATATTTATAGCTATGTGTTTATCAAGCTGGGATTCTATGATACATGCAGCTCTAAGCTAATGAATCTATGTTCCCTGGATGGTGAGCACAAGCCAGGTGTACAGCCAGGCCACACGCTCCTCACTGAAAGCAGCTCAGGCCCTCATCTTCCTGTCACAGCTGATGGGATCAGGCCGCACAATCAGATTCTCCTGGCTGAGAATCCAGAAACGAAGCTGGCCTGCTGGAAGGAGAAGTAAAATTAGGAAGTGCCTTCCATGTGGTGGAGAAGCAGAGAAAGTCCTGAAGGAGTAACCCAGAAACAAGGAGAAGCTGCCTGGGGCTGCCTCCGCCTTCAGCTCCTATCCTGAGATGCCCTGGAGCCTGTCAGCACTGCTGCCCTGGGGTGCCCTGAAACCCCAAGACGCTTCGCACGGTTTAAGGTGGCAAGAACGGAGATCTAACTACAAGCTCCAGCGCCCAAATTTAAAATTTTTTAAAAGATTTACTTATTTATATTTGAAAGGCACAGTTTCAGGGAGGCAGAGGCAGAGAGAGAGAGAATCTTCTATCCATTGGTTAACTCCCCCAAATGCCCACAACAGCTGGCCAGGGCTGGGCCAGAGCAAAGCCAAGAATAAGGAACTCCATCTGGGTCTCCCACATGAGTGACAGGAACCCAAGTACCTGCGCCATCATCTGCATGCAGGAAGGCATTCCAGGATCCTCCAGGACTGAAACTGAGACACTCCAATACACAACGTGGGCATCCCAAGCATTACAACAAACACCCTCCCCAGCATTTAGTTCTGAGAAGCTTATTCTAGGCTTACTCAACCACTACTACAACGTAGGGTTTATGACCTTAGTTCACCATCGTTAGGACCTAAGCTGTGACAGTGCCTGGCATACATGAGGCACACCAAAGTCCTACAAACAATGCATATTTCAAAAGTGTGTAAATTTGGGATTTCTTACTATTCTTCCCCACAGAATCAACTTTATTATCTCCAGTATTCAAATAATGACTGCTGAATTCATTTCTGGTTATATTATCCAAAATGAGTTTGTTATCCTTAGGAGGAAGTAAAGCAGTGCCCAGAAGTTAACAGAAAGAATTTAATTGTAGTTAATAGAAAGAATAGGAAATCTTAAATGAATAAATAGAATGCCAACAATATTTGAAAGTAGAAACACTTATTTAAGTGGTCCTTTGAAATCTGAATTTTCCCTTAAAAAAGAACAATCTTGCAGTATTGAAATGGATATTAAAACTTCTAAATGGTGATTAAAAATAAATATGTGCTGGATCAACAATAAACTACCACATCTAAATATGTGGATTAATAAGTTTCCAATATTAACCTAAATATGGTAGAATTATTAAAAGACTACAATTTATCTTCTATTAACCAAATAACTGTTAACCTTAAAAGAATATTCGTGGCAAGCATGGAGCAACCTGCTCCCTACAGCTCCGGTACACCTCTGACCTACATTTTTGGTCAGCACGCTCTAGACTCATGCCCTTGGCTATGATACGGTGGTCAGTGATCATGACTACGCTCTCATCAATATGTGTTTGCCAGATTTCTCAACTGAACAAACATCTTTCACTGTTTGATCCTAACATAAAAGTCGGAAGTCAGACTTATCGCAAATCCTGGTTATAACTATTAATGATTAAGGGAGACAATGTGACAGATCCTACCACAGATAACTACTTCATAGGCAGAAGTTTGGGAAGAGACATTAATATCTTTGGGTAAAAAACAATGGGCCATACACTCAATCAATCTTTAATATAGCAGGGTAAAATACCTTATACCACTAATCAAACTATCTTATTGCTACAAGAGAATCTCACAATATCAAAAGAGAGACATACTATTTTACTAGAATATTGATTTAATTTCATCTATTACACCACAAATTATTTAAACTTTAAAAAATATAAAAAAAAGGGTCATATTTGAAATATGAACTTTCTTTGGATGTCAGCCTATACTTTTTTTTTTAATTTAATTTTTTTTTTTTTTTTTGACAGGCAGAGTGGACAGTGAGAGAGAGAGAGACAGAGAGAAAGGTCTTCCTTTGCTGTTGGTTCACCCTCCAATGGCTGCCACGGCCGACGAGCAGCGGCTGGCGCACCGTGCCGATCCGATGGCAGGAGCCAGGTACTTATCCTGGTCTCCCATGGGGTGCAAGGCCCAAGTACTTGGACCATCCTCCACTGCACTCCCTGGCCACAGCAGAGAGCTGGCCTGGAAGAGGGGCAACCGGGACAGAATCCGGCGCCCTGACCGGGACTAGAACCCAGTGTGCTGGCGCCGCAAGGTGGAGGATTAGCCTATTGAGCCGCGGCACAGGCTGACAGTCTATACTTTTAAAACAATTAAAGAAAACCCTGATACATAGTGATTTGTTGAGCAGTACTTATAATTTGAAAGAGTTAATGAAACTCTAATATCTGCCTTATAACCAGAGAGCAGCTCATTTTTCAAGAGTACCCTGCCTGAAAAAAAAATCGTAGGAGCTTCTCCAGAATTAACTTATTTATTTATTTATTTTTATTTTTTATTTGACAGATAGAGTTAGACAGTGAGAGAGAGAGACAGAGAGAAAGGTCTTCCTTCCATTGGGTCACCCCTCAAATGGCTGCTACGGCCGGCACTGCACCAATCCAAAGCCAGGAGCCAGGAGCTTTTTCCTGGTCTCCCAAGAGGTGCAGGGGCCCAAGGACTTGGGCCATCCTCCACTGCCTTCCCGGGCCACAGCAGAAAGCTGGAGTGGAAGAGGAGCAACCGGGACTAGAACCCAGCGCCCATATGGGATGCTGGTGCCGCAGGCGGAGGATTAACCTAGTGAGCCACAGCACCGGCCCCCCCAGAATTAATCTTTAAAGGACACTGTCTGAAGGAGATAAATCTTCATTAAAAGTTAAATTAGTATATCTGGTAATAAATGTAAGCCTTTATTTTGACACCATTAATTATAAAAGAGTTTTTAGACAACCGAATTGTTACAAAAGATACAAAAACTGTAACAGAGAAAACTGGCAGAAGAATATTCAATCATGATCACTGCCACTTCAAATGCTGTCTTATCTCTTCTAAGATTCTCTTCATCTCAGGAACAGAAGCATTAATCATTTACCAAAATACAAATACATTAAACGTTTTTAGTGTGTTTACCTTTTTTCCTTTGAAGTTGTGAGTACCATGATGCTCCAGGACCCCATAACACAAGCACATAATGTTGACCTTGGGTCTGCTCCACTGTTACTATGACTTTCCTTTGCCTCTGCCCTCTGTAATTGTACGAAGCCTCTGGAAAAGGAAAAGGAGGGTCGTAGTTGGTGTTACAACCGCCCCTCAGTATCTGTACCCCCAGACACTAAAACCCACAGATGCTCAAATTCCCTACATAAATAGTACGCTATCTGCATAAACCCATGCACATCCTTCCATATACTTTAGTCTGCCCTAGATCACCCAGAATACTCAACAGCGAGTCCGTGCTATGTAAACAGCTGCTATACTATATTGTTCAGAGAATAACGACTGGAAAGAGAGTCCATGCATGCTCAATTAGCTGCAATCTAAAAGTCAGGAAGTACCCAATGTTCACCTGTTAATACTGTGATATCCACAACTCGGAGCACTGCATGGACTAAGGTTTCACACTGGAGCTGCTCCAAGTCTACAAACTCCACACTGCTCCCCTTCTGAGGCTGCCTGTGAGGTAGATCTCTGAGGTAGGGGTGTTTGGAAGACACATACGCCAGCAAGTCCCGAAGTACATCACCACTAACAATACTGGAATCTAGGAAGGAAAAACCCACAAAAAGGATGGCAACATTATATTTTCTTGATGACATACAATATTTTCTTAGCACTGTATTTTATGTTGTAAAGTGGGATTGTATATAAAACATGGTTTCATCTCTACAAAATATGTAGCTTCTTCTTGAATCAGTTTAAATGCAGAAAATAAAGCTTGATATTTTTAATCATTGGAAACAATTATTTATCCTCTCTAAAAACCTTGCTCTGTCCCTTACTTCTCTACTGGCATTGGTAATACATTTTTCTACCAATTAGCAAAGCTCAAAATTTCCATTATTGTTTTGACTCCTCCAGCACCTTAAAAACATCCCATTGGTTTTCCAATCCCTGGAGTCTGATGTGATCCCTTCACCAATACCTTAAATAAAAACAAACATCCATCAACATTTTACTGGGTTACCTTTATTTTTTTTTAAAGATTTGTTTTTACTTATTTGGAAGACAATTACAGAGAGAGGTATTGAGCCAATCCAAAGTCAGGAGCCAGGAGCTTCCTCTGGGTCTCCCATATGGGTGCAGGGGCGCAAGGACTAGGGCCATCTTTTACTGCTTTCCCAGGTCATAGCAGAGAGCTGGATTGGAAGTAGAGCATCTGGGACTTGAACCGGCGCCCATAAGGGATGATGGCACTGCCGGTGGCGGCTTTACCCGCTATGCCACAGCGCTGGCCCCTCAATTCTCATTTTCATTAATTTCTGCTTTTATCTGAATTATTTTCTTCCTTGGGATTTTTTAATTTACTTAATTGTTCTTCTGAAAGTTCTCTGAGCTTGGAATTTAATTAATTTCTTTTTATATTCTTTCATATTTATTGGTAAAAGTGTTGGATTTATTATATAGGTTGTAAAACTTCCAAATAAAATTTTTGTTGAGACTCTAGGTATACCATTTCGATCAGCACATTTGTAATACTCACATTTTATGAAAATCATTGATATTTTCTTTTCTTTTCTTTTTTTGACAGGCAGAGTGGACAGTGAGAGAGAGAGAGACAGAGAGAAAGGTCTTCCTTTGCTGTTGGTTCACCCTCCAATGGCCGCTGCAGCCGGCACGCTGTGGCCGGTGCACCGCGCTGATCCGAATTCAGGAGCCAGGTGCTTCTCCTGGTCTCCCATGGGGTGCAGGACCCAAGCACTTGGGCCATCCTCCACTGCACTCCCGGGCCACAGCAGAGAGCTGGCCTGGAAGAGGGGCAACTGGGAGAGAATCCGGTGCCCTGACCAGGACTAGTGTCGCTCCCCGTCTTCGTGGAGGAACGACACAGGACCCTGCGCTGTTCTTTTGTCTGCTCGGCCCTCCCCGGGTTTGCTGCTGGTTCTTCCCGGGTTGGCTACCGTCCCTTCCACCTCCGTGGAAGGGCGGTTCCCCCTGGCCACTTTCCCCACTTCCACGGGGGAGCGGCACACCGCCGGCTGGCTCTCTCAGGGGCTGCTCAGATGTTCCTCAGGTGTTCCCCTTAGATGTTCCTGGTGCATGTTGTCTCTCTCCTCCTTTATAGTCCTCTTCCACCAATCCCAACTCTGCTACCCACACGCCGAGTACGCTGCTCTCCTCCAATCAGGAGCAGGTCCTGCTGTTTATTGGTTGAACTGGAGGCAGCTGTGTAGAAGCTGTTTCCTCCTCTCCCAGCGCCATATTGTGGGAGAGCAGATGCATAGAGTAAGTCTTAATTCGAGTAACAGTCTAGTCTGAGTTGCTCCCCACAACTAGAACCCGGTGTGCCGGCGCCATAGGCAGAGGATCAGCCTAGTGAGCCAGGGCGCCGGCCCAAAGTCATTGATATTTTTTTTGTGACCTAACAGATAATCAACTTTTTGGATGTGTTGAGGGCACAAGAGAAGAATGTATATTTCTACTATTATAGTTTGATTTGTATCCATAAAGTCAAACCTAGTTTTTATGCTGTTTAGATCTTCTATCTCTTTAGCTGTATTTTGTATATTAGATCTGTTCTGTGCCATTAGGGAAAAGTAAATTAACCCAACAACAAGATATCACAGCATAACGATTAGAATGGTTAAAATAAAAAATAAGGTAAATATATTATACATGATTACTGGTGCAAAAAAACCTGTGAACTCAAAGATACATTGCTGGTAGGAGTTTTAAATGATAGGGGTCGGCTGTGGTGTAGTACATAAAGCCTCTGCCTGCAACACTAGCATCCCATATGGGCACCAGTTTGAGTCCCAGCTGTTGCACTTCTGATCCAGTTCCCTGATAACACGCCTGGGAAAGCAGTGGAAGATAGCCCAAGTGCTTTGGACCTTGCACCCATGTGAAGACCTAGATGAAGTTCCTGATCTAGGCTTCGGTCTGGCACAGCCCTGGCCATTGCAGCCATTTGGGGAGTGAACCAGAGGACAGAAGATCTCTCTCTCTCTCTCTCTATCTCTCTCTCCCTCCCTCTGCCTCTCCCTCTCTGTAACTCTTTCAAATAAATCTATAAATATGATAAATTAAATAAAAAGAATTGTAAATGATATAAGCACTCAGGAAAACAGTTTGGTAGTTTCTTATGAAACTAAACATGCACTTACAAAATGTAACCCAGCATTTATGCCAGAGAAATGAAATTTACGTTCACACAAAAACCTGTACTCATATTTCGTATCTGTTTTATTCATAACAGCCCAAATTGGCAAATTATACAAATGTTATTCAGCAGGTGAACAATTAAACTCTGGTAGATCCATGTACTAGAACAGTACTCAACACTAAAAAGAAGTAACTATTGACGTACACAACAAACTGAATGGATTCCAGGGCATTATCATTACTTGGGAGAACAAAATCTCCGAAGATCACACTGAGGGGACAGCGTTGTGGTGCAGTGGGTTAAGCTGCCGCCTGCAGCATCACATCCCATAAGAACACGGGTTCAAGTCCCTGGTAATGCACCTGAGCAGAGCAACAGAAGACGGCCCAGCCTCACTAACAGGCGTGGTACTACAGAACAGACTTATCTTAACTGTGTTGTTATTATGTGAACCAATCAGGCCACGTAAAACCCCATCCATCCAACAGTCTTCACAAGGGTCAAAGACCAATCCCCCCATTTCCTCTCCGTTGTAAAATCCTCTCAATATTCAGCTAATGCCACTCTTAGGATTATTGGCTGCTATTCTCACCCTGGCTTTTCTACTACCTTGTCTAAGTGTTTACAGGAGGTAATAATGGAAAGGAGCAAAGCCTTCCCCAACCAGGCAGTCAACCAAATGCTGCTACAGGGATATACTCAGCGCTCCACCCAGGACACTGTGGCTTGAGACATCGCCCCACACCAGTGGAGAGTAAATCGTCACCCTACGTCAGCAGGAAATAGCTCTAAAGACAGATCATCATCCCTCCACCACCACCACCTGGACTTTTATTAGGGTTGCTTTATAAAAAACAAAAGGGGGGGCTGGCGCTGTGGCATAGTGGGTAAACCTGCTGCCTGCAATGCCAGCATCCCATATGGGCACCGGTTCGAGGCCTGGCTGCTCTGCTTCCGATCCAGCTCTCTGCTGTGGTCTGGGAAAGCAGCAGAAGATGGCCCAAGTCCTTGGGCCACTGTACCTGCATGGGAGACACGGCATAAGCTCCTGGCTTCAGATTGGCACAGCTCCAGCTATTGCAGCCAATTGGGGAGTGAATCAGCAGATGGAAGACCTCTCTCTCTGCCTCTCTTTCTCTCTGTGTAATTCTGACTTTCAAATAAATAAATAAATCTTTTTTTTTTTTAAAGAAAAGGGGGGGGATAAAAGGGAGGAGGATGTTAGTAAAATGGCACAGTCTTACCTGTGGTGTAATCTATGCCCCAGACACCATCCTAGGATCTAGCCCCCATCACCATTGCTAGAAACCAGGTGACCAGATGGCCCAACCACAGGTGTCAGTGCCACCCCCACTCTAATGGGATTTGCTGCTCCTACTTCCCTGCCCCTGGCCACAAGGGTATAATAGGTCCTGCTTCCCACAAACGTGCTCTCCTGATCTCTCTCTCTCGACCTCCCCCCTCCCTTAACCCCTTCCCTCTGGCCTATCGGATTTCCCCCATCAATAAACCCTTTCCCTTAAAAAAAAAAAAAAAAAAAAAAGAAGAAGAAGAAGAAGATGGCCCAGGTGTTTGGGCCCCTGCCACCCACGTGGAGACATGGATGGACTTCCAGGTTCCTGGCTTTGTACTGGTCCTGGCCCAGCCCCAGCTGTTACAATCATTTGCGGATGGAAGCGCTCTCTCTCGCTCGCGCTCTCTCTCTCTCTCTGTCACTCCACCTTTCAAACAAAATCTTAAAAAAAAAAGTCAGACTGATGTAACATGATTCCATTTACATTCAATTCTCAAAACAACAAAACGATCCCTATGGGGAACAAATCAGTGCTGTGAGGGAACAGGGACGGTGATGGGAACTCTAAAGAGGTGGCATGAGGGAGTTTCTCTGAGTTTACTTTGACCATGGTGATTACTAACACTGCATAGAACTATAGATAAACCCAGATAAGTGCATGTAAAAACTGAATAAGGTCTGCAGTTTGGTTAATAGCATTACACTGACATTATAATAAAGTTTTGTAAGATGTCGCCACTGGGGGAAGCTGAATGAAGGGTCCATGGGACTTGGCTTACTATTTTTGTAATCCCCTGTGAGTCTATCATTTCACAGACAATATTTTAAAATTTAAACTTTTTAACAAAATAAATGAACACCATCCATATGCTAGTAACTCTGCAATCTGAACCAGAGTTTTGTCCTCTGAGTCCTGGACTGTTTCCAATTCTACTTGGAAGCCTCAAAGGGTATCTCAAACCCAACATGCCTACAATAGAACCCTTAATTTCCCCCAAATCTGTTCCCTCTCAGCCTTCCCCAGTAAAGGTTACCCAGTTACTTACATCAGAAACTCAGCAGCAGCAGATAGCTCCCATCTTCCACCTCCAAACCCACAGCATCCTGTTAACTCTATTGACAAAACCTCCCATCTCTCCATTTCTGTTTATCACCACTGGCTTCCCATCACCTCTCAAACCTAACTATTGCCTTCTGTGGGTTTCTTCACAGCACTCCTTCCCACTGGCAAATATTTTATTTACATCCGTTTAGTTCTGTGTGTGTGTGTGCGTGTGTGTGTGTGTGTGTGCTTTCCACACAAGAATGTAAGCTCCCCAGAGGCAGGCACCACTGTACCCCAGCATATGGTGAAACATGGTGCCTTAAACAATGTCCACCATCACAAATGCACACTGGATACATGAAGAACTCTTTCCGTCATTTTCCGAGAGCATATGCTGGCTTCCTGCTGATGAACAAACCTGGGGAGACAGCGAAAGCCCGCTCCTTCCAAACAGCCGTCATTGTTCTAGCTGCTGTTACTGAGAAACCAGAGGCTGGAATTCCAGCCCTGTCTCAAATAAGTCACACAACTTTCCTGCTATTCTGGTTAACTTCTTGTGTAATCTGCACATCTCCGACGCTATTCTTTGACTGTACTATTTCAGTATTCTGTTGACTACATTTTGCTCATTTGTGACTTCTCCCATTAGCCTTGCTATATTGTTACTATGTTATGTATAGCAGTAACACCTTATATTCATTACCTCAATTAATATTCACAACGCTGTAAGGTATGCGTCTTTTTATTTCTGCTTCACAGATGGCAAGAGGGGATTCAGCGAGGATAAATGATCCTCTTAAAGACAAGGGCTACGGAAGTGCTGGGGCCAGGATCCAATCTCAGTCTCTGACCCAGTCTATACAATTTCCCTTATTTTGACTTCTTGTTTTGTCCTATTTCCTAGAAGATAGCTGCTAGGTCTCCACCAAACATCTTATCTTAAAGAAGAGCAAACAGTCAGAGAAGTGGTAGTGGCAGAAAGGAAAAGAAGGATTCAAACCACCAGGCCAAGGCCTCTGTATTCCCCTAAGGATTCTTCGTTAGAGGCTCAAAAATTGCACAGAACTTCAGAAGGCCACAGAATGGCTTACAGTTGTAAGTAAAAGCTTGTGTCTATGTAAGCTCATTTCTCTGGAAAAAGAGATCTGTGACTCCCTGAAAGGTTAAGAGCCATCGCTATATTGTCCAAGAAATGAAACATGAACCTTGATATTTTTAAAATAAATATGATTTACAATGTATAAATTCTTTTTTAAAAACTATTTCTCTTCTAGTGAAAATAAGCTAATATAAAGTACTCCACAGCTGTTTAAACAGCATTTTGTAAAAAAAAAAAAAAAAAAAACTATTTTAACTGTAATCTTTCCTATACGTTTACATATTTAAAGTGATGAGAAATTACTACTTTCAAGATGTCTCTTACGTTCCTCGGGCTGGACCGATGAGTGACTCCCGAGATTCAGTAACTGACTGGTGAATGTTGACTGCAGCACCGTCTCACCAGCCCACTGGTCCTCGTGAACGGTGACATCTAGAGAGAGGGGAGAAGTTCTGATCACGCCATAAATTCCTTCACACTGTGGATAACTAGCCAGATACAGCATAGAGTTCAGACATGGCACAGATGATAAAAAGCAAAGCCAAGATCTGAACCTAGGTGTAGTAGTTTCCCCCTTATGCAGTTTCACGCTCAGTGTTTCAGCCTCCCATGGTCAGTAACAGTGAAAACATTACCTGGAGATTTCAGAAATAAGTAACTGGTTATTGTTGTTGTTTTAAAGATTTATTTAGGGGCAGGCACTGTGGCATAGTGGGTAAAATTGCCTGCAGCGCCAGCATCCCATATGGGGTGCCAGCCCAAGTCCTTGGGTCCCTGCACCCTCATGGGAGACCTGGAAGAAGCTCCTGGCTCCTGGCTTTGGATCAGCACATCTCCATCCATTGTGGCCATATGGGGAGTGAATCAGCGGATGGAAGACCTCTCTCTCTCTCTCTCTCTCTCTCTCTCTCGCCTCTGTTCTCTGTAACTCTACCTTTCAAATAAAATAATAAATAAATCTTTAAAAAAAAGAAATTCAGCTTTATAATAGCTATGTATGTTTTGAAAAAAACATAGAATATGTAGGGCTCAGTACTATCTGTGGCTTCAGGTAACCACTGGGGGTCTTGGAACATAGCCCCTGTGGATAAGGAAGGATAATTGTATGCCTTTCTATAGGTAAAATAACAAATTGCTCCCTTACAGTTAACTATTACCAATATGAAAGCTCACTAACTCCACGGAGAAAAAGTTAATGTTATTTGTTTACCTAAACCAAATGTTATAGTATATATTCTGATAAATCAGCAAAGAGTAGTTCCAAAGCCACAGTGCCCAGAAGAGTAATACTTAGTGCACACTAGAAATGCACCTAAACACAATATAAGGCGTTCTTAAAGGACTCGATTCGCTTTCCCCAAATGGCATGGTAATCATCCTCTATAGGTGTTAAAAGTAAAGGACCTCAGTGGCAGCAACACTTTCCAGTGGGAAGCAGGGAGGTGCAGGATCTAAGATGCCAGCAAAGAATCACTTAGGGTGGAACTAAACACGCCAACAGGTAGAAAGAATTCTATGTAGAACAAAAACTGTAAACTGTACAGACAAAATGAGGGCTATCACCCAGATAGGATACAATCATTGTACAAAGTGTTAGAAGTATAAAGACGGTATTGACAGTTGCAAAATAATTTGGAGATAATGGGGAAGAAACACAAGGATGCATGAATTCCACGTGGTTATTCCCACATAGATACTGCAGACCTCTCAGCTTCAAGCTCTTGTATCCACAACTGTCTAACGGACATTTCTGCTTGGGATATTCCACTGGCTCTCCAAACTCCGCACAGCCCAAACCTCCGCTCACATCACTCATCTCATCTGTTAGCACTGTGCTGCTAGTCAGGTAAACTAAAATCTGAACTCACCCGGCCTCCCCTGCGTGTTATCACACGTTCCTCCCACTCCTAACCTCTTACCTCTCAACACATGTCCCACAATGCTAGAGAATGATTTATTGACAACATTTCTGGGATCAGATGACTCACTTAGAAAACACTGCCTAGCCAGGAAGAGCTGGAACAGCTTCCACAACTCCCATGATCCTGTTCTACAGAAGAAGGGAACAAATGAAAAGCTTATGGGGGAGCTTTCTGGAAACTAGGACTGAACGGCCTATGTGGGGTTAGTGTTGTGGCTCCCTTTGTCCATTCTTGCTATGTCCCAGCTGCTAGCTTCTCTTCTGTGCGTTCTTTGAGCACTAGCATCCCATGTGAGTGCTGGTTTGAATCCCGGTTGCTCCACTTTTCATCCAGCTCCCTGCTAATGTGCGGGGATAAGCAGCAGAAGATGGCCCCAAGTACGTAGGCATCTGCCACCCATGTGGGAGACCAGGACAGAGTTCCAGGCTCCTGGCTTTGGCCTGGCCCAGCCCAGCCCCTTGAAGCAGATGGAAGAGTTCTGTCTCTGTCTCTCCTTCCCTCTCTCTCTCTATAATTCTGCTTTTTAAATAAATACACCTTTTAATAAATAAATCAACAAAGAACATGAAACAAAATCTATATTTTTTAAAAAATGATTTATTTATTTGAAAGGCAGAGCTACAGAGAGGCAGAGAGCGAGAGGTCTTCCATCCACTGAAAGGGTCACAGATGGCCCCAGGTGGCCGCAACGGACGGAGCTGTGCTGATCAGAAGCCAGGAGCCAGGAGCTTCCCCATGGTCTCCTGTGTGGGTGCAGGAGCCCAAGGACTTGGGCCATCTTTTACTGCTTTCCCAGGCCATAGCAGAGAGCTATATGGGAAGTGGAGCAGCTGGGACTCAAACTGGCGCCCATATGGGATGCCGGCACTGCAGGTGGCAGCTTTACCCACTATGCCACAGTGCTGGTCCCAAAATGTTATATTTCTTACACTGAACAAAAAAGCAGGATGAAAACTGTATGCTCCATATGATTAAAACTACATAGTAAGACTGCGGATTCTGGAGCCCAGGTGAAATCATGGCTTTGCCACTTTTCAGGTGTGTGACATTGGACAAATTCTTTTATTTCTCTGGGCTCCAATTTTCTCAGCTGAAAAGTGGGGGAAGTAATCAGTATCTTCCTCTTTTCTGTCCATGGAAAAGGTGTATTATTTTTTTTAAATGCAAGGACTTAAATTTTTTCTTACACCAAAATAATCTTTTAATTCCATTTTCTGTGAATTTTTTAAAGTGTCCATATATATATATATATGTGAGTATGTGTGTGTATATATGTACACATACACACATTTTTAAAGGGCAGTATTTGTCTCTTTTTAAATTTTTTCCATTTTTACTTATTTTAAAGGCAGAGAGAGAGAAAAAAAGAGAGGGAGGGAGAGATCTGCCATCTGCTGGTTCACTTCCTAAATATCCACAACACCCAGGGCTGGGACAAACTGAAGCCAGAAGCCCAGAACTCAGATTCAGGTCTAAGTCCTTCAGCCATCACCACTGCCTCCCAGGATATGATTTAGCAGGAAGCTGGAATCAGGTGTAGAGTCAGACTCAAACCCAGGCACTTCGATATGGGATGCAAGCATCCCAAGTGGCACCGGACCTGCTGTGCCAAGTGCCTGCTCCATGAATACACATTTTAATAATCATATGAAAATAACTAGAGGGTAACACGCTAAAACCCTGCTGGTGGTTATGTGATGTTACCCTAAACCAGTAGTTTTTTTCCTTTCTATATTTCCAAATGTGATGGAATATAGTTTTAAAATGAAAAAGTACAACAGAAATCTGTATCTGTTCCCTTGGTAACAGACAGTTAGTAGCAGCAGAAACGCTGTCCTGCCATCCTAAGACTGCTAATACAGTTAAAGAAAAGGGTTAAAAAATAAGACGTACTTGGGGCAATTGCTGCCTGCAGTGCCTGCAATCCATATAGGCACTGGTTCAAGTCCCAGCTGCTCTACTTCGAATCTAATTCTCTGCTATGGCCTGGGAAAGCAGTAGAAGATGGCCCTGCACCTGCGTGGGAGACCAGGAGAAGCTCCTGGCTTCAGACTGAGCCAGCTCCAGCCATTGTGGCCATTTGGGGAGTGAACCAGCAGATGAAAGATCTCTCCCTCTCTCTCTCATTCTCTGTCTCACTCCCTGTTTCTCTCTCTCTCTCTGCCTCTGCCTTTCTGTAAATCTGCCTTTCAAATAAATAAATAAATCTTCAAAGAAAAAAAAAAGACACCCTTATACACAGAAAGCCATCAGAAAGCGAGGAGGCCAGTGATAGAACCTGGACACTTGGACAGTGAACGAACAAGAGCAGAAACCAGGAAAGGCTTCCTAAGGGGGCAGGCTGGGAAGGAGGGCCAGAATGGAGGCCCAGGACACGGGGCATGTTAGGAAGGGGTCAGTCATGCTGGGCCCAGAAGAGACAAACGAGACAGTGTCCTCAAAGACTTGGAGCGGGAAAAAAGAAACCACACAAAGCACCCCAGAGCTGAGAAAACAGGGACCACTCTACCATGACGGCCTCACCTGTGAGTAAAATCACGTCTCCCAGGAACACCGTCAGCGCCCAGAATGCGGCAGTCCTCCACAGGGACACCTTCTTGGTCATCTCGGACTGGTCCGTTACTGTAATCGTTGCCAAGGGCACTTTAGAGCCAGCGCTGGGTCCCGATTTCACGTGTACCTCTTTCACGTGGCACGGAGACAGCACCACGACTAAACAGTTATACTTCTGACTTTTAGAATGACAGTGTTTTATCAAGGATGTGTTTCTCACACCCTTAAACGCAGACCCGCGCCGCTGCACCACCGCTGCGTGGGAAGCCCGCTTCATTTTCCTGGGCACGCGGGGGACATCAGGAGCGGCTGGCCGGTCCTCGGAAGCCCGGGTTCTTTTGGCAGCCCTCTTGTGGGAGGTGCTTCGCTGGGAGCACAGCACTCCTGAGCTGCACAGCTGGATGGTGACCTCGTCCGGCGGCGGTTTACCTTCGGAACTGAAAAGTTCTTCAGATCCTGTGCCTTCCTCAAGAGCTTCGTCGGAGTCGATGGGGATGGGGCTGGTCTTGGCGTCAGGACAAACAGGACTAAAAAGTTCCAGGGAATGTGCCTGGCTTTGTCCATCATCACTTCCTTCCACAGAATCAGCGCGAGGCCGACTGGCATCATCTGCAGTCAGTGTTAGTTCCCCACCACTGGTCTCTGGTTCAGTCTCCACGTCTGCTGTCCCGGTGGCTGCAGATTTCTGCCCGTTATCCTCCCTTTGAGCTAAAAAAGCCAGCTGGCTGCAGGTCAGTACGCTGAGGAACTCAGTGTCAGTAGACACCTGGAGGTTTGAGAGCTCCCTGTCTGCTCCCTCGGACCTCGCCTTATCCCCTGTGTTGGTGGAAAAGAATGCCTGACGCTGGGCTTGTGTCTCGCGATGTTCCGCTGGCACACACGGTGTTCCTACAGCTCCTGGCCCCATCCTGATCTGCCCGCTACTGCAGACCAAACCCAACACAGCAGCACCCTTGTGACTGAACCGAAAGGAATCTGTAGGAGAGTGCGGACCACCTCCGCCGGACTGGGTTTTAGGCTCTTCCCTGGTAACTTCCTCGTTTTCCTGCTGAGGCTCAGGACACTGCCCTTCTTCGGTTAAGCGCCGACCTCCGCCCTGAAATGCGTGTGCTTGCACATTAGAGTTTCTCACATCACTCGGCCCCGAGGGCTGGATCTGCCCGGATTTTACAGTCCGTGTTTCTGAATGTGTAAAGTCATCCTTCTCAGGAACGGACCTACCCACAGGGTTTGCTAACCGTGGGCCGCCAGGAAGCTCGGCCGGGGCAGTGGCTTCTGGCACCTGAGTGTCCCCGAGGCTCCTGCGCTCAAGGCTCTCATCCCTCAGCCGTAAAGCGCGACCATCGCACAGAAGCTGAATTTCCTTCCAGGGGTCAGCAGTGGGCGTCAGAGATGCTGTTTCCTGCGATACCGTCATTTGCAGTGGACCCACTGGAGCACCCCAGAAGACATGAACTTGAGACCCTCTGCTCATGGTTTCTAATAAGAAATGAAAAATACAAAATTAGTCTTTTGTCAATAATTTTCATATACTGATGTTAATTCACAGTGTACCAAAAGAAAACTATGAATGCAAAACATAATAAATGGAAATTATTCATTTTGATATGTCATATCATAAAATTCACAAATACACAAGAAATCATACGGAGAAATCAAGAAGAGTCACCAGAAATTCTTCACCCACAGATTCTCTTTAGGAGAAATAAAGCCAAGTATACCAGCATCAAACGAGTGAATAAATTCTTAGCATATTCATATCTGATATTGTAAACATTTGCCCCATTTAAATAACAAGTTGGTAATAAAAGGGGGGACATTCATTGAATCATAGTAGTCACCTTTAAATTACTTGTGCTTCACTGCATAGATTACCTCAGTTTAGAATCTCCTTTCTTCAGCAGTGAATTTAATTCCCAAAAACAAAACAGAAGGCAGATAAAATTTAAAAATGGGACTTTTTATTAAAAAGATTTATTTATTTATTTGAAAAGCAGAATGACACAGAGGAAGAGACAGAGAGAGCTCTTCCATCTGCTGGTTCACTCCCTAAATGGCCACAATAGCCTTAGCTGAGCCAGACCAAAGCCAGGAGCCTGAAACTCCACCCAGGTCTTCCACTTGGGCAGCAGGGGCCCAAGTACTCGAGTCATCATCTGCTGCCTTCCCGTGTGCATTAACAGGGAGCTGAATCTGAAACACAGCAGGAGGCTCTCTAACTGGAGCCCGGATATGGGATGCCAGGGCCCCAAGTGAGGCATGATCACTTTTAAGATTTATTAATTTATTTGAAAAAGTTACAGGGAGAAAAGAAGAGACAGAGACAGAGAGAGACCTTCCATCAGCTGGTGCACTCCCCAAATGACTGCAATGGCCAGGGCTGGGCTAGACCAAAGCCAGGAGCCAGAAGCTAGGAGCTTCTTCTGGGTCTCCTGCGCAGTGCTGGGACCCAAACACTTGGGCCATCTTTCCCAGGCCCATTAACAGAGAGCTGATTGGGAAGCAGAGTGCTGGCAATATAATCAGCACCCAATTGGGATGCTGGTGTCACAGGCACTGGCTTTATGTGTTATGCCACAACGCTGTCACCCTCCCCACCAACCTTCAAAGTAAGGCTTTTTAAAAATCATACTGATGACTGTATTATCTATCTTCACTCTAATACATCAGCACAATCAATATTGTTCCTACAGTTTTTAATCTTCTCTGAAATATAGGTGATAGTCATTTTGCAATAAACATAAAAGAGAAATTCATTATAATAAACTTTTTTATTAACTGTGGCACCTAATACAAGTAAATCTAAGCAAGCAACATACTTACTGAGATAAGCGTAAAGAGTCATAATAACTGATTTTCAATAGCACTGATTAAATAGATCTAAGGAAACAACCAGTCTCCTGGGGAAGCACATACTACAGAAAGCAGGCGTTGTGGCTAAGGGCAGCCCAAACCAAAGAAACAGGATCTGCATTGTGGCAGATGTGGTAGGAATGAGCACTGCTGGTCACAGGACAGGAGCCTATGTTAAAAAAGCAAAGGGACTGAACCATGAAGAGCCCAGAGGGAAATACATTCCTTGAGGACTGGATCACTGTCCCCTCTTCCAAATCCAGTGGTCCCGATTATTCTAGAGTATAACTTGTGATTTCAATATCAACATGGGTGACCCTTTCTTCACCAGGTCTCTTGGTTGGCTGACCTCATCGCCTCCATTGATTTTTTTTTTTTTTTTTTTTTTGAGAGGCAGAGAGGGATAGAGAAGATTCAGAGACGCACAGAGAGCCCACATCTCCTAGTTCACTCCCCAGATGTTCTAGGAGCTGGGAATGTAATTCAGGTAACCAACCAGGATGGCAGGAACCCAATTACTTGAGCTATCACTGCTACCTCTCAGGGTCTGCACTGGTGGAAAGCTGGAGTAGGGAGCCAGAGCCAGAATCAAACCCAGGTGCTCTACTGTGGGACACAGGCTCTTAACCTCTAGGCTAAACACCCACTCCCTCCATTTATTTTATTTCTACCTCACCTCCGTCACGCATCCCCATAATCATATACAATACTATTATCAATAACCACACACCCCTTCCTGATTTCAGTATTAAGTTTTCAGCCCTCTGAGCATTTTCTCCTACATTCCAACCTGCTTCCTGTACATGCACAACTCCAACAGTTCTTTGGCTACAGGGAAGCTACAGTGAATACACTGATTATACCACATTTCCACAGCCTTATGCTTCACTTCCCTCCTTAACCAACTGCTACTCCAGGGTCCATCACTGTAGTTACTCCAGACCCACGTCTCTAACTCCACTCTTCTGCTCTCCAAGGTACTCGCACAGCTACATGCAAACACTGATTGAATCGTTATCTACTATGACTGGAAGTGAGAAGAAAAAAATACACAATCATCTGAAAGCTAGTTTTGCTTTAAATTTATTAACACTAATCTTAGATAACTTTTTTTTTTTTTTTTTGACAGGCAGAGTGGACAGTGAGAGAGAGAGACAGAGAGAAAGGTCTTCCTTTTGCCGTTGATTCACCCTCCAATGGCCGCCGCCAGAGCACTGCGGCTGGCGCACCATGCTGATCCTAAGGCAGGAGCCAGGTGTTTCTCCTGGTCTCCCATGGGGTGCAGGGCCCAAGCACTTGGGCCATCCTCCACTGCACTCCCAGGCCACAGCAGAGAGCTGGCCTGGAAGAGGGGCAACCGGGACAGAATCTGGTGCCCCAACCGGGACTAGAACCCGGTATGCCGGCGCCGCAAGGCAGAGGATTAGCCTAGTGAGCCACGGCGCCGGCTTAGATAACTTTTTAAATACCTTTTCATCAATACACTTTGTAAAAGTTTGTGGGGCAGGTATTGTGGCATATTAGGCAAAGCCTCCACTTGCAATGCTGGCATCCCATATGGGCACTGGTTTGGTTTATGTCCTAGCTGCTCTACTTCTGACCCAGTTCCCTACTAATGGCTTGGGAAAGGGAGCAGAAGATGGCCCAAGTGTTAGGGCCCCTGCGACTCATGTGGGAGACTGGGCAGAAGCCCCAGGCTCTTGGCTTTGGTCTAGCCCAGTCCCAGCCATTGCAGCCATCTGGGGAGTGAACCAGCAGGTGGAAGATCTCTCTCTGTCTCTCCCTCTCTGACTTTCAAATAGATAAATACATCTTTTTTTTTTTTTTTATAAGAAGTTTATTTTTTTGGTAAGGATAGAGGGAGGGGAGACAGTCTATTTGCTGGTTTACTCCTCAAATGGCCACTATAGCCTGGGCTGGGTCAGGCCAAAGCCAGGAGCCAGGAACTCTATCTGGGTCTCCCAAATGGGTTGCAGGAATCCAAGTATTTGGGCCACCACTTACTGCCTCTCAGATGCATTAACAGGAGGCTGAACTGGAAGTGGCGGCAGGACTCGGTCCCAGGCACTCAGATGTTATGTGAGTGGCCCAAGCTTAACCTGCTGTGCCACAATGCCTACCTAGCACCATTTTTTCTTTAAAGATTTTATTTATTTATTTGAGAGGTAAAGTTACAGACAGTAAGAAGGACAGAGAGAAAGGTCTTCCTTCCGCTGGTTCACTCCTCTAAATGGCCGCAAAAACCCAAGCTGCAACGATCTGAAGCCAGGAGCTTCTTCCCACACGGGAGCAGGTGCCCAAGGACTTGGGCCATCTTCCACTGCTTTCCCAGGCCATAGCAGAGAGCTGGATTGGAAGAGGGGCAGCCAAGACTTGAACTGGTGCCCATATGGGATGCCAGCACTGCAAGTGGAAGATTAACCTACTACGCCACAGCGCCTGTCCCAACCAATTCATTTTGAAAACTGACAAGAAGAAAATTTATCCTGTCATTCTGCACTAACAGTATCTCAGTGACCAACTCATGAGAAGAAATCTCTATAGAGCCATTCTGCTAATAAGCAATGAAGGAATGACAGAATGCCATTATTTAGCAATTCCAGTGAACTAGTGGGCCTTTCAGGCAATGAGCATTAATGGCTGTTAACAGCACAAAGACAGATGAAGGGAGAGCAAAGGGAACCGGCAGACTGAGGCCAGTTACAGTTTTGTACCTTACTGAGATCCTGACATGAACAATCGAAACAGAAGTATTACAAGACAACTGCAGAAACTGAAGCCTTGACTGATATGTGATAACATGAAGGGATTATTGTTATTGCTGTAGTGGGGTAATGTGATTGAGGCTATGTTTGGAAGACATACATGAGTGCAGACAGAATGGTGTGACATCTCAGATTTCTTCAAAATGCCACGGAGGGGGAAGGGAGTGAGGGTGTTGATAACCACTGGGGTAGGGTGACAGGACACATAGCAACTCACTGCACTAATTAATTTACTCTTGTGTATGTTTGAAATATCCTAAAATACTGGTACATGTCTTTTGTTTGTTTTTAAGAAACATGGTTTCATGTCCACAGGACTAGGAAAAGTTTTAAATAGCCTGACATTACTCAACATTGACAAACTCTTACAACTGCTGGTGCAAGACTAAATTGGCACCCACTATGAGGAACAATTCAGTAAAACATAGTAAAACTGAGTGCACATAAACCATACCACAAAACAGCTGCACTTCCAAGATTTTGGCCTGGAGAAAACTTACACGTAATTTGCACATATGTAAGAAAACAAGTACAAGACTGAGCATGGGAGACTGTAGAGTCCCCAAATTAAAACAACCTGAAAGCCCATGAATAAAAGAACAGGCACATCATAGAGTATTTAAAGAGGGACTGCCATATGGCAGCAAAAGTAAATGAACAAGAGCTACACACGCATCAACATAAAGGGTACTCCAGAAAGGCCAGACAATGGATTAAAGCATAAGCTTATTTTGTTGCAAAAAAAAAAAAAAAAAATTGAAATCCATGCATACGAGGTGTCTTCATTTAAAAATTTTATTTTTCTATTGAACTTTTAACAATACAGTTTTTTCCCAAGAACTTTTTGAAGTATCCTTGTGG